AAAAAAAAAAAATGGCGGTTAATTTATTGTTTTTTTTTTTAAATATATTTTGACATTTAAAATTCTATCAGGAATTCTATGTGAGTAGATTAAACCGTTTAACACAAGACGTCGAAATGTTTTTTATATAAAAAAAGGAAAATCTATAAGAATGTTGTTGACATTTTTCATAATTTGCGAGTATTTTTTTTTTTTTTTTTTTTTTTTTTTGTTAAATTTAAATTGATGAAAAAGACGGGAAAAAAAAAACAAAGTATTAATAACAATTTATGTGAATCTTTATTTATATACACAAATATATATATACTTATATAAATATATATATACGCAAAAATATAAGGAAAAAAAAAATATATATATATATATATAAATTCAAAAAAATAAATAAATAAATAAATAAATTTTAGTTTTCGCAAAAGGGGAAAAATTCAAAATTAATAATAATATTAATAATATTAATAATAATGTTCATACGTACTGTTGTAATTTTTTTTAATATTTTAATATATCAAAGACACATTTTATAAATATATATATTTAATTGTGCAACTGGTTATAAAATGATAATGATAAAAAAAAATTTGGGTGAATTAATTAATTATTAAAAAGGTTTTTAATAGATCAGGATCGAATATAAAATTTATATGAGAAAAGAATGATTTGAATGTTTTTTTTGTTAAAAATTAACCTTTGAAAGGCATAATTATAAAAAAAAAAAAAAAAATTCCCTTCAATAATTACAAAAAAAAAATCTTTTTCTTTTTTTTTTTTTTTATGTACATAAATTTGTATTTTTAATGAATTGGGATTTTATTACTATTATTACTAATTAATTAATTAATTAATTAAGGAAAGGAAAATCTCTGCTAACGTTGCAAATATGGAGTTTTTTTTTTTTTTTTGCAGCTTTTTAACTTTTTTTAAAATTATTATTATTATTATTATTTTAACCGTTTTTTAAACCGAAAAAAAAAAAAAAAAAATTATTTAAAGGTAAATGTATATAACTTTTTCTTTTTACTAACATTATTATCATCATCATCGTGAAGGAAATCACGTGGGAAAATTATTTTTAAATGAAAAATTATTAAAATGCCTTTTTTAATACCTGATTAAACGGTGCAAAGGTTTCATTTCCAAATAATAATAATAATAATAATAAAATATAATAAAAAATAAAAAATTTTTCTTGTTTGAAAAAAAAAATGAGAGAGAAAGTAGTGACAAGTAATGGATAATAATAATAATAATGATTTTCATTCTTTTCAGTATTTATTATTATTAATAATGATTAAGTTTAATAAGGAAAGGTTCAATTGGTGTGGTTTGTTTTTTTTTTTTTTTTTTTTGGAAAATTATATTTATAAAAATATTTATATATATTTGAGTCTCGTTAATGTAAATTTAAATGTTAATTATAATCCACGAGTGCCTTAAAAAAAAAAAAAAAACAAAAAAAGGGAAAAGATAATTAATTATTTATTAAAATAATTTTTTCTCTTTTTATTTTATTCATTCGAGTCCGGAAAACATAATAATAATAATTTTTTTTTGAACGGTTTAAAAAAAAGTCAATACAAACGAATGTTTTATTTAGTTTTTTTAAAATAAGAATAATAATAATAATAATTTTTTTGATAAAGCATTATATAAGGATACGCATATATATTGCTCTCTTTAACGGTTTTAAGATGGCGGAATATAATTTTTATAATAATAATAATAATGATTTTTTTTTTGTTGTTGTACGATAATGGTTGTGAAATTTTGATGATATATATATATATTGATAATGTGTACTTAAATTTTGTTCTTGTTTTTGTTGTTTTTGTATCATCACATTATTTTGAGATGATGATGATGATGATACTTGATGATGGTTTCATAAACAAAATTGTAATTTTTTTTTTTTTAAATAAGAAAAAAAAATTATCAATGCTACTACTATATATATATGAACGTTTATTAAATATTATGGATATGTATTATGGATAGAAATAAATTTCTAAGTTTAAATAATCATATAAGGAGTAAAATAGGTTTAATGATAATTTTTTTTTTTAATAAAATATATTATTATTATTATGGGAATGGGAATATGTTTTAGTATTGGAATGCAAAAAAAAAAAAAAAATAATGTATATTTCAAATATGAAATATTAACATTTGATAAAAGTAATTCATTAAAAGAAGAAAGTGACGGTTAAATACAGTGTTGTTATTGATTGTATATGGATTATGTCATTTTTTTTTGTTTTTTTTTTAATGTAGTTTTGTTTTGTAGCTGCTTAACTATATTGAAAAAAAGGGGGATTAAATAAATCATGAAAAGTAAAAAAAAAAATTTTCATTTTGTTTACTCTCATTTCAAAAAAAAAATGTAAATTTATGTACGTGAAAAGGTAAGTAAATAAAATAATAATAAAATTATAAGCCTAACGGTTTTTTATTAAATTTGAAAAATCAAATGATATAAGAGTAAAAAAAAATTTTGAATTTGTCAAAAAATGTAATTAAGTTACTTCGAAATATCAAATTGGTAATTTGCCATATTATATTAAAAAAAAAAAAAAAAAAAGTAGAAAAATTTAAAGGCTTTTTTTTTTCTTACAATCAACCTTTTTCAGGTACATTTGATTCATCATTAATTTTTATGTTTGACATATCGTGACAATAAATTTTACTATCCCAACCACAAGAATACAAATTATTAGTGGTCTGATTCCAAGCAAGTCCTCGAACAAAATCTTCATGTTGATTAGATTCATATCTGGAGAGATAATTATAAAAATGTGTAATCTGGACTTAAAATTTTTCAAAATGAAAATTAATAAAAGTGTAACTTACATATTAGTTATTTTGTTTTCCTTTATGGAGAATACATATACGTTTAGTTCATCGGCACAAACTGCCAAACGCTCTAATTCATAATTATATTTAAATTTGAAAATTGATCTGGATGAACATGGATTTTTATCTAATTCTTGTTTCATCCTTACATCCATTAAACTTATGGTACCATTGTTTGAGCCTAATGCAATTAATGATTCTCCAATCCAAGAAGATGCTGTAAAACCACAGTCATTTTCTGCTAAAAGACTAGCTGGCTTGTCTAATCTAATATCCCAAATTAAACATGTTCCATCGAGCGATGTAGAAGCGAATATATTGTGTTGTTGAGATTGAGCAGATACTGATGATACTATGTGACTGTGTCCTGGGCAGTAGGATTTTTCACTAGATAATGTTTCTATGTTCCAAACTACAATACTAAAATTTTGCTTTATGCACAGTAAGTTTATTAAAATAAAAAATTAGAAAATTACTCTCGATTCTTACTTCATATCGTATCCACCAGAAATAATTTTTGATTTATCGTTTAAAAAATCCAAAGTTACAATGCTATCATCATGTTCTGATACAATTCCATCTGTACCAAAGTAATGTTTATCTTTTTGACCATTTTGAATATTAAAAGATAAAAAATGTAAACGACCAGTGTCACATCCTATAACTATCTTTTTACAGCCGTCTAACCATAGTCCTGATGAAATACTACTTTCAAGTTCTATACCTGCTAAACATTTTTCGATGTCTGGTTCAGTAGGATAATCCTTGTATATCCAAATTGAACCACTCCAAATCCTGCCACATAAATTTGAAGTACCCAATAGCATAAGCCCATCTAAAACCAAACATTTTTTTTAACTGTAGAATATCAAATTTAACCTATTCTATTATATAAAATAACTGATACAAATTTTTTGAATCCACATACACTTGAAACTTTACCTTCGCTAATGTCAATAAAATCAAAATGTTTTTCTATTTGACGTGGTTTATCGTTAACCGATTGATTTCTATAAGTTTCGGCTAATAAATTTGGTTCAGTCTGATACAATTCGTCCTGCGTTTCCATAACTAAAAAAAAAATCCGTCAAAAATCACATAGATTTCGAATAGCAATTTTCAATTCTTTAATAAGCCGGGAACAACTGTTTCCGTTTGCACAGCCTACTTGATACTTGTTCTAATATACGAAAAAAATCTCCATTTTGTTTGTAATGCTTCTGTTCTTAATCTAAGTGTATAATCACATTACGATAATTTTGCCAAATGTGTGGAGTGTTGAATTAGTATTTTACTATATATATATTAGTGACAATTTTATCAATTTTTTTTAACAAATATGACCCAATTTTTACCTCCAAATTTACTTGCATTATTTGCACCACGCGATCCTATTCCGTTTTTACCTCCACCCGACAAATTACCACACGAAAAAAAAAATCGTGGATATCAAGGTGTTGGAGCATTTATAAAGTATTTTGAGGATCCAAAAGATACACCCCCTCCAACAAGAGTCGAAACTAGAGATGAAAGGTTGGAAAGAAGGCGTCGAGAAAGAGCTGAGCAAGTTGCATATAAATTAGAACAAGAAATAGCTGTTTGTATGTATAAATACTTTTTACACCAACATTTTTAATTCAATATGTAATTTTTCATTTGAAAAATCAATTAAAATTATATTAGATTTCTTATATAAAAAAAAAAATTTTTTTGTATTTTTGTCTAGGGGATCCTCATAACATTCCAATTGCAACAGGAGATCCATTCAAAACTCTTTTTGTTGCCAGAATTGTATGTATAAAACATTTTTTTTTATTTATTATACAAATCAATTGAATTTTTATTAAATATATTTTCTATTAATTCAATCTAGAACTATGATACTTCAGAATTTAAGCTAAGACGAGAATTTGAAGTTTATGGTCCCATTAAAAAAGTAAGATTTTTTTTTTTTTTTTGTTATTACAGTACACCACATTTATTTATGTTTTATCTAATTATGTAAATTTTAATTAGATTGTAGTCAGTCATAATACTATAAATGGGAAACCAAGAGGCTATGCTTTTATCGAATATGAGCATGAAAGGGATATGCATTGTAAGTATAAACATGTAAGTTTTATTTCAAATTGAAAAACCCTTAAAATTCAAAATAATTTTTTAAAGTTTTAATTTATTTATCTTTTTTTCATAATTTTTCATTATGTGTAAAATTATCTCAAAATAATTTTACTTTTGTTTTTCTTTTTTTTTTTTGTTATGAATAGATTTTTATCACAAAATTTTTTATTAATTTTGGAATTTTAAAGGGTTTTTTATTCATTTAATTTATGTCGAATATATATATTTAATGTTTTGACTTAAACATTAAATTTCAATTATCAATATTGTTTAAAATTTCAAAATATTAATTGCAAAACATTAAAATACTAATAATAGTCAGTTATTATCACTTTTACATGAGAACAAAATTTAAAAATTTATTAGTTTTATTTAAGGTTTTTTTTTCATAAAAGGTGGGAAATTACTGAAAACCGTTTTAATATGATTTACGAAAAAAAAATAATAATAATAATAAAACCTTTTCAAAGAATGATGATAATTTAAATAAATATTAACAGGTTAATATTAACAAGGGGGAAAAATAAAAAAAACTTTTAACAATTTTGGTAATTGAAATAATGTTCAAATTTTTTTTTTTTTTTGTCCCATTTTTTTTGTATGTTGATTTGCACAATGTATATATATTTTGTTTCAAAGCCAGACAAGTCCATTTAATCGTTTGCAAAAAAAATTTTTTAAAAATTAATTAAAAACAAAATTGAAACATGGTAAGATATTTAGATTTTTGTGAATTGATATATATTAATAATTCCCTTTATTATCTATTTCTCGGTACAGCTTGGCGGTCTGCTGGCTTCTAATGTTCTCTTACTGTGCAAATCATACATTGACTGGCCATAAGAATAGGTTTGTATGTGTGGTAAGACCCAAACATACAAAACTCACAATTTTTTTTTTTTTTTTTTTTTATTTTTTTTTTAAACTTTTTTTTTTTTACTTTTTTTTTTTTATATATATATATATGAAACCCATAAAATAAATTCTTTGTCTTTGTCACTTCTCATACCCCCATTTTCTATTTTCGTTAAGGGGTTTTATTTTTAACAATTTTTTTTTTTTTTCTCTTTAAACGAAATCAAATTTTATATATTTATATTAACTATCGGTATACAGTTCGATTAAGCCCAAAATTTGCTATATAATTTAAAAATTATATAATAAAAATATTATTATTGCGCTATTAATATATATAAATAACGTAAGTAATGCGCACCAGGTAATTTAATTTATAAAAAAAAAAAAAACGGGTATGGATCGGCATTTCGATTGAATGTACCACAACTATCAACTTTCAATGTGATATTTTTGTTTTATTAAAAAATAAATAAAAAATAATAATAATAATAAATACATTTTCGTCTTGTGTAAGTAAATTCGTGGTAGGTATTTCTTTTTCTTTAATTATTATTTTAAATAACTGTACAAAAAAAAAAGGTCGATTTTTTGCTCTATCTTACTATTTAATTATTTATTTCTTTTTCAAATAATGCATTACATCGCGTTTTCCAAAAACAAATCCCCAAAAATAGCGCTTTTTCTTCTACCTTTCAATTTGCCTTGCCCCCCAAAAAATAGTTAATTTAGGTTAATAAGTCTTTTTAATAATTCTTTGCAAATCACATGGAAATTTTTTTTTTTTTTTAATCCCCCTTTCACAGTCAGTTTTTCCAACAACAACAACAACCACAAAAAAAAAATGAAAATTAAAGTCAAATACAATACATTGCAATATTTCTTAATCAGTTCTTATCAAAAAAAAAAATGTCTTAATTATTATTTATTTGCATAAAAGTTTTAAATAATTGAAAAAATTTATATATGCAAATTAATAGAATGGGTGAGTATGGGGTAAGAATTGATTAAGAAAATTTTTTTTTAGCCAAAACTTATATAAATATCTGTATTAAATTATAATAATAATAATATGGAATTATATCAGTTTTATTAATTTTTGTTTTAAAAAAAAATTTTTTCAGCTGCTTATAAACATGCTGATGGAAAGAAAATAGATGGACGACGTGTTCTTGTAGACGTTGAAAGAGCTAGAACTGTTAAGGGATGGTTGCCTCGTCGATTAGGTAAAGTTGAATATTAATGTGATTAATTAATGTGACAACGAGGGGGAGGAGGAAAAAATAAATAAAAAAAAAAAAAATTTTTTTTTTTCTTTAGGGGGGGGATTAGGGGGTACTCGAAGAGGAGGTCCGGATGTTAACATTAAACATTCCGGTAGAGAAGATAACGAACGTGAAAGAGAACGGTACAGATTAGAAACTGAACGTGAAGCTGCTCGAGCTAGTCGAGGTAATAGGGATAGAGACAGAAGAGACAGAACAAGAAGTAGAGAAAGAGAAAGGAAAAGAAGATCGAGAAGGTGATTTTCTTAATGTTAATTTTAATTTTTTTTTTTTTTTTTACATTCGTAAAACTAATTTTTGAAAATTAATTTTTTAGCCGGTCGACTGGTCGTGATAGGAAAAGACGTCGTAGTCGCGATCGCATGAAGGATCCTGATATTGAAGAAATCGATGAGAGACCCAGAGACAGAGATCGGGATAGAGAAAGAGATAGAGATCGAAAAAGACGAAGGAGCAGATCTAAAGAAAAAGATAAGGAAAGGGGAAGAAGAAGACGAGAAAGGCGAGAAAGAAGAGAAAGAGAAGAAAGGGAGAGAGTTCGAGAGGAAGAAATTGAAGAAGTTCGAATCAAAGAGGAACCCATCGATGGTGCGTTTCTTTTTGTCATTCTCGGTTTTAATTTTTAAAAAAAAATCTTGCGAAGCAAATGATTGATTCATTGATTGGAAAAAAATTTTTTTTCATTTTAGATTATCCTGATTACAACGAAGATTACATCGCTGAAAATATAGCGATTAAATATGAGGATGCTGAAAAAATTGTAAAAAAACAAGAAAGAGATAGAGATCTGGGAAACGGCCATATGTATAATAATTATGGTAATCACGATAACCATAACAATCCAGAAGAAGAAGAAGAGGGAGAAGACTATTCTTAAATAAACGAACGAGACTATTTATATAAATAAGTTAACTTTTATTCCCCACATAAATTCTTCATTATTCGCCCCTAAAAAAAAAAAAATATATCTAAATGAAATAATTCTGTTAGTAAATTTAAAAAAAAAAAAAAAAAAACACTTCTTTTAAATAAAATTCTTTAAATTTATCTGCAAAAATAACTCAATTTTTTTTTCCCTGATCCTGTTTAATAATACTAAAAGGTTTATATTTTACTTAAAAAATAATTAGGAAATAAGTGGATTAATTTCATCACAATAATAATATTTAAAAAAGGTTTTTTTTAATAAAAAAAATTAATTCTTCCCTACAATTATTCTATATTAATCGACCGTTATTAATTGTATTATCGAAAACTTTTGCACGGTTTTTACAAGTTCGACAAAATCTGATAATTTTTGTCGCAGAAACAAAAATGTCGACAGATACCGTCAGATAATTTTTAAATCATGGCTGCGTAATACTTTACTGTACTGTCTAAATGCAATGGAGTGTAAAATTATTTTATTGATTGCGGTTATTTTCAGTTGTATATTGTTCTGTAAGGTACAGGTTTTTTCTCGTAGTGTTTTTTTGTTGTTTTATTCTATTATTTATATTTTTATTTTGTATTAATTAATTTTTTTTTTTTTTTTTTGAAGGCTCAGTCTTATGACGATGCTCGTTGTAAATGTTTATGTCCAAATCCTTCTGTGGTAAATGGTACTGATAGGTCTAATAGAAAATTGTATATAGGAAATGGACCACCCAATAAATGGTGAGTCGTTAATTTTTAATTCAAATACTATTTTTTTTATTTTATTTTACGTTTATTCCACTGACAGATAAGTCATTAACTTTTTAATTGCGTAAGATGCTTAACAGCTGAAAAAAAAAAAAAAATTTAATTTGAAACATTACAAATGCATTTAAACTATAAAATCCATTTTTTTTTTTTTGTAATCATACAATATTGTGCGAGTAGCTGATATATGATGACGTTTGTAAAATAATTGAAATATAATATTTTTTTTTTTTTCAGCAATTGTGATGGAGTTATATTACCTCAATTGGGAGACGATTTGAAAGGAAAAGAACAAGAATTTTGTCCTAGATGTGAATGTAAATATGAAAATCGTAATACTGCCATCATAAAAGTAGTAGTTATAATTGTAATATGGGTTATATCACTCCTATGCATTTACATGCTATTTTTAATGTGTTTGGATCCTTTACTTAATAAAAGATCAAAAGGAAGTTATTTGGAACATACAAATGAAGAAGAAGATTCTTGTCAAGATATAGGTGTATCATCTCATCCTATGGGACTGAGAGGAAATGTTTTAAATAGAGTAGGACATCAACAAGATAAGTGGAAAAAACAAGTTAGAGAACAAAGAAGGAATATATACGATAGACATACAATGTTAAATTAAAAAAAAAAAAAACTTTTTTATAGCTATTATTTTTACAAATTTATTTTGAATACTTTTTTAAACTTATAAAATCCATTTTAAGTAAAATAAATCAAAACGTTTCTCAGTAATTTTTAAAAACGAGTAATTAAGTAAAACTCATTTTATAAATTTAAGTCGTTTTGAATTTTTTATTTGTATTGTTTTATTTTATAGATATTTATATAATTAAATGGTAAATATTAGTCACAATTTGAATTTTTATTTTGTTTAATATTTTTAGAGATTTAATTAATTCTTTATTCAAAATGTATTTCATATTACTTATTTTATTCGCAATCATTTTAATTTAAATAAAATTAAGTATGTATTGTGTACTTTATTCGAAACAATTTCACATCATGCATTATTTAAAATAATAATAATAAATAATAATATATTGTATTTTTATTAATAAATATTATTATTTATGTCAATAAATTAAATAGTTTTTATTTTTATTTAAACCTGTGCGTTTTTTCCGTTAAACTATTTATTTTTAAAATTGCGACAATTCTTTACCTTAAAATTAGTGCTATATTTCAAAAAAAAAAAAAAAGAAAAAAAGTTAAAAATTTATTATTATTAAATAACATAATTATTTTTTATAATTAAAATATTTTTACTTTTAGATTAATATTTAAAAAAAAAAAGAAAAGAAAAAAAAAACTACTGGTTTCTTATGTAAACATACTTCATTCCAATTTGTTTGAAATTTTTTTTTCAAACCGTCTTTTGTTTTACTTTGGCCGCGTTATATTTTTATTTTGGTCTTAAAGAGAAATTAAAAAATAAAAACTACATTATGGCACAGACAGATGTTCAAGCTTTTCTTATTGACTTTATAGCAGGGGGGATATCTGCAGCTATATCAAAAACGGCTGTTGCACCTATTGAAAGAGTAAAATTAATTCTTCAAGTTCAGGCTGTCTCCAAGCAAATATCAGAAAAGGAAAGATACAAGGGTAAGCAATATTGTTAAATTAAATTTTTTTTTCTTGCTAGTATCTCAGGTTGTATTGAGTTTTAAATGTTTTTTAGGAATTATTGATGCATTTGTCAGAATTCCTAAGGAACAAGGATTTGCCAGTTTTTGGAGGGGGAATCTTGCAAATGTGATACGTTATTTTCCTACTCAAGCATTAAATTTTGCATTCAAAGATGTTTACAAAACTATTTTTATGGAGGGAATTGATAAAAAGAAAGAATTTTGGAAATATTTTGCAATGAATTTAGCATCCGGTGGAGCTGCTGGTGCTTCTTCTCTTTGCTTTGTTTACCCCTTAGATTTTGCACGTACTCGTTTGGCAGCCGATGTTGGCAAGGGGGCTAACAGAGAATTTAATGGCCTTTATGATTGTTTAGTCAAAATATTTAAATCGGATGGATTGATTGGATTGTATAGAGGCTTTTTTGTATCTGTCCAAGGAATTATTGTTTACAGAGCAGCTTATTTCGGATTATTTGATACAGCTAAAGGAATGTTACCTGATCCCAAAACAACACCTCTGTATATTTCTTTTCTAATTGCTCAGGTATGTTTATTTTTTTTCGAGAGAGTAATTTTTGAATACAAGACTGCACAATCGTTAGCAAAAAAAAAAAACATTTTTTGTAGGTTGTGACAACGTTTGCTGGAATCGTTTCATATCCTATGGACACTGTAAGAAGAAGAATGATGATGCAGTCAGGAAGAGGAGAAATTTTATATAAAAATACCATGCACTGTTGGTATACAATATTTAAAACAGAAGGGCCTTTAGCTTTTTTTAAAGGATCCCTTTCAAATATATTTAGAGGAACAGGCGGTGCATTAGTATTAGTTCTTTATGATGAAATTAAAAGATTAATATCTTAAAAAAAAAAAAAAAGAAAAGAAAAAGAAAGAGAAAGAGAAAGCTGAATTTGAAGCTCAAATTTGTTTATACAGTGGGTACACCCTCAAGCAATAATTTTATGAATTGTTTTAATATTAAACTTAATAAAATTATTGCTTAAGGGTATAGTAAAAATACAACAAAGTATTCCCAAATTTTTTATGAATTTAAAAAAAAAAAAACATTTTTAATTCTCTTCTTTGTTTTACTATCACACTACGTAGAATAGGCAACAGTTTTTTTTATTTTTTTCATATAACTATATATATATTTTTTTCCTTGTAATATTCTGTTTTCCTGCAATAAATTATTCTGTATGTTTGAGTATTCACTTATTTATTTTTAAAAAGTTTTTAATAGTAGCAATAAAAATCTGTGTCGAGCCATCGAAAAGGATATTTTAATGTACGAAATCCAGCGCCCTCTTGAACATAAAAAGAATCTCACAAAAACTATATTTCTGTAATTTCTTCTTAATTTTTTCACATCAAAAGATATGTCAGATATCGGAGAACCCCTTACTTTAGCTCGAGGTATGTTAATATTAATTATGTGAAAAAATTACAAGCATTTTTTTTTTTTTTTGTTTTTAAAATGAAATTTTATGTATTTAATATTATTTTTCAAAAAATATTTTTTTATTGAATATTTTTACATGTAGATGTTAAGAGAGCTATTGAGTTGTTGGATAAACTTCAAAAATGTGGAGAAGTACCTGTAACAAGATTAGCAGCTCTACAAAAAGTTTTACAAAGTGATTTTTTAAATTCAGTTCGTGAGGTTTACGAACATGTTTATGAAACTGTAGATATACAAGGTTCACAAGATATTAGAGCATCTGCAACGGCTAAAGCCACAGTTGCTGCTTTTGCAGCCAGTGAAGGACACGCCCATCCAAGAGTTGTAGAACTTCCTAAAATTGAAGAAGGTTTGGGTTTTAATGTAATGGGAGGAAAAGAACAAAATTCTCCTATTTATATATCTAGAATAATACCTGGTGGTGTTGCCGATAGACATGGTGGATTAAAAAGGGGGGATCAGCTACTTTCTGTTAATGGTGTCGTAAGTTGTTATTTTTCCTCCGATTAATTTTAAATTTTACATTTAAATGATACATAATAAAATTAAATTTCAAAATTTAAATGTAAAAATTTTTTTTTTTTGTTTTAGTCGGTTGAAGGTGAAAATCATGAAAAAGCTGTAGAACTTTTAAAACAAGCGAAAGGATCGGTAAAATTAGTCGTTCGTTACACACCAAAAGTTTTAGAAGAAATGGAAATGAGATTTGATAAACAGAGGGCTGCTAGAAGACGTCAATATCCTTAAAAGTGAATTAATATTTATTAGATAATCAACTATTTTATTTTTAGTTTTGTGACTTTAAATAATTCATCAAAAACTTACTTTATGATTTTTGTTATGAAACCATATTCTAAATACTTTGTTGGATAGTTAAAATTGATAATTATTTTTCATATTTTAACATTTGAAAAAAGTTTTAAATAGTATTGATTTTATTATTAGTAAGCCTTATTTGAACCTTTGTTTTGTTTTACTTGTAAAACCTTTCTTTTTTTTTTTATTATTATTATTATTTAAGTTATTAGTTAGAGGTATTAATATTTAAATGTAAATTGAAAAAAAAAAAACTATTTATTGTTTTTCCTTTGATTCGCATCTCTTTGAAACAAAGCAGTATATAATTATATACTTAAATTTTATAATTAATTATTATAAATAATTTATGTACTTTATATATCCATTGTACAGTTTAATTTTGTTTATGTTGTAAAAAAAACAATATATTTAATTAAATGAGCTCTCTAACTGAGTAAAAGTATTAAAATTGCATATTCTTTTTCTCGAACTTCATGTATATTTAAAAAAATTGAAATAAAATATAAAAATAAACCTTTTTCTCTTTATTTTTAAATCATACCTTAAATAATTCAGATATTTAATTTAAAAAATAAAAAAAAACTATACTTTGTCAGAGTCATTTTTAATGTCAAAGTCGAAATAAATTTTTGTTTTAAATATTCATTTTTGAGATCATGATATTTTAATTGCTTTTCATTTAAAAAAAAAAAATCATAAAAAGCTTATTGTTGACAGGTTTAAAAAAAAAAAACCGTTATTTTTATAAATACAATAAACTTAAAAAAAAAAAAAAAAAAACTTGATTATTCTTGACTTAATTTCAAATGCATAAAAATACCAATGCAGTTGTTGCTTTGGGGAGATTATTATTATTAAAAAAAAGAAAAAAAACCTTAAAACTTAAAAAGGGAAAATTTTTGTAAAAATTTGCCCTCGAGTCAAAAAAATCAAATACACAATAGTAATAATTAATTTTAGAATATTTTTTACGAAAACTCATATAATTTTAAAAATTAAATTACGACATTTTAAATTTTTACTCAAAACCGCGCATTTTGTATTATTTTCCCCTTCTATCTATCTATTTCGACTTGCCTCGTTTAAAAGTACACAAACCATTAAATGGCTGTTTTATGTATTAACGTTTAATTTTTTTATATCAGTTTTTTTTTTTTTTTTTTTTTTTAATTCTCGCGTTAGATTTTTTAAAAAATTTTTTTACATAAAATGTTTTACTGAGTGCAAAAGTTTTATTTTTATTGTTATTGTGCATTTTATATAAAAATTAATAATAAAAAAAAAAAAAAGAAAAATTGTGAATGAATATTACGATTTATATGTTATCAAACGGATTTTAGGTTAGTCAATTTGACCTCATTATTAATGGACCTAATTTTTTTTTAAATTTACTTTTTTTTTTTTTTTTTTTTTCCCAATTGTGTGATATAGAAATTTAATATTATTCTAACTTTTTATTTAAATCAATTTATAATTTTCTCTTCCATATTTTATCATTATTATTATTATTGTTTTTAAATGTGTTTCTAATTTTTGGTTTTTTGTTTCATTTTTATATAAGAACCAAATTAACAGAAAAAATTCTTTTTTTTTTCAAAAATCATGTAAGTAGTAATTAATCATAATTTTATTTTATTTATTTTTACCTTACTAATATTATTATTATATTTTTAATAGAAATACATTTAATTCTGATAATGCAATGTTTGATTAAATTTATAAAATTAAATTCAGTAAAAAAAAAAAAAAAATAATTTTTGCCAAATTTTTAAACTTTAAAAGTGACCTATTATATTTATAGTATTCGAATAATGTTCATCGATTTACTTTTTTTTCCATTATTATTATTATTATTATTATTAAATAAAGTGTAACACCATTTTTATTTTAATTTAATAATTATATTTTAATTGAAAATTCATTATTATTATTTATTTAAAAGTAATTACATTTAATATTTTTATTTTATTCATATGGCATATCGTTTTAATTTCAAACAAATTAAATTATTCTCATTTCAAAGATCAAGGCTTGCAAAGTCCAAAGGCCATATTTGTTTATTTCATTTTCTAACATCCATACATAGGACCAGTTATTTCGATGTGAAAATACATAATATTTAAAATTCAATAGTTAGCAATTATTTATTTAATTTGTTTATAAAATATATAAAATTTTTTTTTTACATCTTCTACGATTATCATTTTTTAAAATTATAAAATGAAATGACCTATGTTGTGATCATAAGATCACAAAAAACAGACAAATCGGGTCAATAATATTAAAAAAATTATCAATTCATTATCAATTATGATTCATCTAATGATTTTTTTTTTTCATTTAAATGATAATACATGTATTATTATTATTATTATTATTATTACTATTATTATGATGTAAACAATGATAAATAACTGTTTAATTTGACAGTTAAATATTCATAATTACATTACTTTGTAAGAATTAATTATTCGATTTAAAATTAACCGTTGTGATGATGATGATGATGATGTTGTCGATGATAAGAATTTAAATCTTAATCGTTTAAATTTAAATTAATTTATTTTAAAGTGATTAAAAATCATTCAATTTGTGATCCATTAATTAAAAAAAAAAAAAAAATTTCAATTTGATTTTTTTTTATTTAATAACCAAAAAATTTTATACAAAAAAAAATAAACTTCTCGAAAAGCAATTTAAAAAAATTATTTCGTATTGATAATTAATTAATTAATTAATTAAATTGGGAGCCATATTTTTTTTTAAAAATAAACCGTTAGGTTTATTGTTATTTAAGTTTTAAACCCCACGGAGGAATTGTATGTTTAAAAAAAATTTTTTTTTTTATTAATTTTGACACAAGCACACTTATTATAAAACCAGACTTAAAATGTTCTTTAAAACTACTCAGGTTTTTTTTTTTTTTTTTTATATTTAATCGCCACGGTTAAATTCACGGGTGACATTGAAATTTATTATTAGTAAATACGTAGTCGTTATTAGTAGTGAATGTTTTCTTTTTTTTTTTACTATAAAAAATCAAATTTTTAAAAAAATAAATAAATAAATAAATATAAAGAAAATAAAAAAAATCGTTTTCGAATTAAAAAATAATAATAATAATTTTAATGTAAAAAAAAAAATATGGTAAAAAATAACGGAAAAAAAAAAACTTTTGATAATTAAATAAATATATAAATAAAAGGTAAGGTTTTAAATAATAATAATAATAATAATAATTTTTTAATGGAAATTTTTGTTTATAAAAATTTGTTTATAATTTTATGATAGACGTAAGCAAAATTTTTTTAGAAAGTTTTTTTTAAAAAAAAATAAAAAATAAAACTCCATGCATAATTCATAAATTTAAATTTACGTTTTATTGTTAAAAAAAAAAAATTATTTAAATTTCTTCGTCAATAATTACGTCAAATTTCATTTTTTAAAATAAAAAAAAAATTTCCCTTTTTTTATTAATTTCATTATATAAATAATTATTTATAATTTTAAAAAAAATAATAAAAATAATTAAGTTTAGTTTTATTGAGTGTCACCCCCCCCCCATCGAATAAAATATTTTAATATTTTTTGAAAGTTTTTTTTTTGAGTTAAAGTCATTATTAAAAATTTAATTAAGCCCCCCCTTTCCCCTCCCCGATCCCCCCGAAAAAAAAAAATGTAATCAACGTAATTTTTCCCCATTTTTTACGAGAAAATAAAATTGAAAGCGATATTTTTCTAAAGGCCGAAAAATAATAATAATAATAATAAAAATTATTATTATTAAAGTGCAATTTAAGATTAGTTATCAATAAAAAAAAAAATTTACTTAATAAAAATTTAGTGGGTCATTGAACTCTGTGTGATTTGATGATTATTTGAAAGTAAAAGTAAAAATTTTTTTTTTTTTTTTGTTTTGATATTAAAAACCTTAAATTTAAATTTTCTCGATTCTTATGATTTAAAATATTTTAATGACTGGATAAAGTACAGAATTGTTTGACATAACTTGTTATTAATTATGGTAAAAAATAATTATTTAAAAAAAAATCAATATAAAATCGATATCGATGATAATCAAAAAGGTTTTAACAAGGTTTAAAACATCCCGAAATATCCCGATCCTTTATCCCGAATCCTCCCTTGTCTTATTTTGAATCTGTCAATGTATTTATCCACCATTTTTTTTTTTTTTTTGAACTTATTTATTGTTAGTTATGTAAAAAAAAAAATAAATAAATAACTAATGTAATTTTCAACCGTATAATAATGATAGTTGTCGACCTTGTTTCTTATAGGTTTAAAAAAAAAATCCTTAGCACTTGTTGTTGTTGTATTTTCAATGTTTTTCCACTATAAAATAATAATAATAATAATAAATTTTTTTTTGCTTATTGATATTTAATTAATAAAAATAAAATTTGATTTAAAAATGAGTTTGTGGTATAAGAACAACAATTCGAGTAAATAAAGTTAAATTTTTTTTTTGTTGTTTTAGTTGATTTTTAATTTGTTTAAAAAGAAAAGGAAAAAACATGGCAGAGGCCCACTCAGCTGTGGCATTTTCTTTTGCCATAACCCACGAAGGATGGGATGTTAATTTTGACAGAGAAGTCTTAAATTTAGTTTGGGCTTCCGGTATACGTTCTTGGAAAAAAAGAATAGCCAGATTTAAGGTTTCTATATGATTTTATTTTTTCCTTTTACGTCGATTTTTGAGAAGAAAAAAAAATTTTAAATGTTTAGATGATATTTGATTTCAGAACAGTATAAAAAATGGAGTTTATCCAGCGAGCATGCAAAGTTTTTGGATAACGGCTAGCATATTAGCGGGTTTACATTTTATAGGTATAAGAGCACCAAATGGCCTTCTAGTAAGAATATTACCATTATTACCCGAGTAAGTAAAGTTTATCGAAATGATTTTACGTCAACCTCTTTATAAAAAAACCTAAAATTATTATTATTATTATTTTTAGTAATACATTTCAATGGCAGTTGATAGGTTGTTGCGTTGTGGCTTTGTTTTGGTGGATGACTTGCATATACTTTATTCGTTACACTCTAAAGTTTGCTCTCATGTATAAAGGTATATTATCTTTCTCACCTGAAAAGGTCACTTTTTAAAAACCAATTTTAGGTTGAGTTTAAAGTTAAACTTTTCTTTTCCTTTTAAGGTTGGATGTACGAAGAAAGAGGAAAGGACCGTAAGATATCAATGAAAACGAAAATTTGGCTTCTTTTAGTCAAATTATTAATGATTTCCGGTAGGCCACAATTATACAGCTTTCAGGGATCATTACCTAGATTGCCTTTACCTTCGATAAATGATACAATGAAGAGGGTAAATAAATTTACCGTTATCAATTCTTTTTAAATTTTAATTCTTTTTAACTTTGGTCTTTGGAAAATTAATCTTAAAATAGAAAAATTCGAACTGAATGAATGAATGAAGAAATTCGTCTAACCTTTTGGGATTATACGGTGATGGTTTGTCGAGAGAAATATCCTGTTCGGTCAACCTATCCTCAGAAGTTTCTGGTTTTCCCCTTCCCTGGTGAGTTCCTTCCTAAAACCAATGTAGGAAAATAGATATCATTGTACTTTTCCTTTAAAATCATTCCAATAATATATTTAATATATTCGTAAATGTGTTATTAGTGAGTGCGAAATTTTTTTTTTAAATTGTCAACTTGTGTACTTTTAGTACCTCCGCAGTGTTCGCCCTTTACTCGACGATGTGGAATATGAAAAAATGGAAAAATTAGCAGCAGAATTTGAAAATGGTATCGGTCGAAAATTGCAAAGATATTTAAGTCTTAAATCATGGTACGTTGTCAGAATCGTGACTTTAAAAAAAAAAATTTTTTTTCGGTTTTATTTATTTATTATTTTTTTTTGTGACAGGTGGTCGACAAATTACGTATCCGATTGGTGGGAAGAATATGTTTATCTTCGCGGTAGAGCTCCACTTATGGTAAATTCAAATTTTTACGGTATAGATGCTATTTTCAGGCATCTGACTTCAAGACAAGCCAGTAGAGCAGCCGTAATTATTCATGCTCTTCTTCAATTCAGAAGACTGATTGACCGTCAGGAATTAGCACCTGTGAGTGCCTGAATGAATGAATTACCAACAATCGATTTGAACCTTAATAAAACTTACTAAAAATATCTTTTTTTTATTAGATTTTAGTACAAGGACTCGTGCCTCTTTGCTCGTGGCAATACGAAAGAGCTTTCAACACGACTCGGGTTCCCGGTAAGGAATCCGATAAAATTGTACATTATTCCGATTCGAATCACATCGTTGTCTATCATAAAGGACGTTATTTTAAAGTTTTAATTTATTATAAGAATAGATTGTTGAATCCCGTTGAAATTGAAATGTGAGTGAATCGTTTTTTTTTTTCGAATGTGAAAAAAGAAAGGCGAAAAACGAAATTTCTACTATTTCTACTATTTCAGGCAAATGGAACAAATATTAAACGACGATTCTCCTTCTATCGAGGAAGAAGAAAAAATTGCAGTTCTCACGGCTGGCAATCGTTCAAAATGGGGTCAAACCAGACAAGATTTTTTTTTCAAAGGTCCTAACCGTGTTGCATTGGACACCATTGAAAAATCCGCATTTTTCGTTTGTCTGGATGACGTCCCGTACGTTATTAATCACGAACAACCCAATGGTATGGACGAGTACGGAAGAATTTTATTACACGGTAAAGGCTACGACAAATGGTTCGACAAATCATTTACATTGTGCGTCGGAACAAACGGAAAGGTTTGTTTGTTTGTTTGTTTGTTTGTTTATATTTACCCTTGAGAATATATTTTTACTCTTACCACGATAACCAAACGATTACTAAAAAAAAATTTTTTATTAAGGTTTTTTTATCGTTTTCAGATTGGATTCAACGCCGAACATTCTTGGTAAGTTTTTCTCATTACCAATAATAACAGTAACCTTTTGACCTCCCCAAAAAAAACAATACGTGATTACGAACAGTATAAGATTAAGTTATTTAAATAAATTGAAATTTAATTAGGGCTGATGCAGCTATTTTGTCCCACATATGGGAATGGATCTTCATGGAAGAATGTCGAAATCCAAAATTTGGGTAATAATAATCAAAGTATTTTCGGTTATGGTACTTTGTAGACAAAAAAAAATTGTTTTCTATATGTTTTAATTAGCATTTTAAAAAAAAAAAAATTGTGGGGGTGTAGGGTGACGATGATGATGATGATGATGAAAACAAAAACTTGTTGAACAGTTTCAAAAAAGAAATTTTTTTTTTATTTTAACTTTTTTAATTTTTTTCTTTTTTTTTCTTTTGCTTCTGATTGACGCCCACATTATTTCAATGTTAATAAATCTTAGGCTATTATTTTATTATTTGCTTTTTTATTATTTTTTCTGTGGTAATACTTTATTCTTCAGGGCTGATGCTCCTGTTATGGGTCATGCATGGGAACATATTCTTCAATTTGAAAGCCTTTCGGAGCGGTATGCATTTTTTTCTATTTGATTTGCATTTTCTTCTGTATTCGCTTGTTGTAGTGTTTTTTTTTTGCCTGATATTATGACTAATTTTATTTTAATTTAATAATTTTTTTAGAAATTTTCATTCATTCATTCATTCCTTTGGAAATTTTTTTTTAGATATACCGATGATGGACATTGCGTTGGTACGGCTGAATTTACACCACCACCCCCGACGAGAATAACGTGGCAAATAAGCAAAGATTTAAAAGCGGCCATTGATTCTTCTTACGAAGTAAGATTTAAATTTTTTTTTCTTTTTTTTTTTTTTAATCAGAATATTGTTTAACAAAAAAATATATCATCATTTACAGAAGCTTTCAAATGTTTTCCGACGTCGATTTGAGATATAATGTTTAAAGACTACGGTAAGGGTTTTATGAAAAAATGCAAAGTTAGTCCGGATGCTTACATTCAAATGGCTTTACAACTGGCATATTACAGAGTACGTTTTAATAAAACGATTGTAATAGAATGAAACTACGGAAAATGATCCTCATATTAATTTTTGTTGAATTCAATTATAGGATTTTGGAAAATTCAGTTTAACATACGAAGCATCCATGACTCGTTTGTACCGGGAAGGTCGTACGGAAACGGTGAGATCGTGTACCGTTGAATCCGCGGATTGGGTCAAATCAATGCACAGCTCAAAAATTCCGGCTTCCGAAAAAATTGGACTCTTAAGAAAAGCGTGCGCTTTACATCAGAAAGGTTATCAAGATGCCATGTGCGGAAAAGGAATAGATCGTCATTTGTTTTGTCTCTACGTCGTTTCTAAATATTTAGAAGTCGACTCACCGTTTTTACATAAAGTTTTGAGCGAACCCTGGAGACTTTCCACGTCTCAAACTCCACACGGACAAACGGCAAATTTCGATTTAAAAAAATATCCCACGTGTATATCCGCCGGTGGTGGTTTCGGTCCCGTTGCCGATGATGGCTATGGAGTTTCGTACATAATAGCAGGAGAAGATCTTATATTTTTTCATATATCGTCAAAAGTATCTTCCTCCTACACCGTAAGAATAAAATTATTTTTATTTATTTATTTTATTATAAATTTTGCATAATGTAACGTAAATGTTTTTTTTGTTTAAATTTGTTTATAGAATTCAAATAGATTTGCCAATCAAGTTGAAAAAGCACTTTTAGATATGAAAAAATTATTTGAAGATTATGAAAAAAATCAAATCAACGGTGATATGTAAAGAATTGTAAAAAAAAAAAAATTTAAAACATGTATGAAATATGTATGAGAATTATTATTTAATTTTTTAAGTATTCATATCATAAAAAAAAATTTTTTTTTTTTTTTTTATATCGAATGATGAATTTTTATAAAAAACTTTAAAATCAAAGTTGAACAATATTATTTTATTTATACTATCCTTTTTTTATATAAAAATAATTTTTCTAGCAATATTTTAAAATATAACTTTATAATTTATATTGTTAGCTATGTATTATTATTATTATTATTATTATTATTAAAACGACGATTAAAAATAATCACGTAATAAAAAAAAATTTATAGGGAGCCAATTTATTCTATATATGTATAATGAAAATAAATTTTAAATTATTTAATTAATTTTTAATTTGAAATTTTGTCAAATATTTGATAATTACAAATGTAATTTAAATCATCATAATCATGTGATTATTTAAATTAATTATAAGTTTAATGTTTAATAATTTAATTATTTTATTAATAAGACCTGTTAATTGTGAACAAAAAAAAATTTTTTTTTATTTTAAATGCATTAAGGGAGGGTAACTAAATAATTAAACATCACTCATTTATTTAATTCAATATTTGTTAATAATAATGATTTATATTGTTAAATTTTAAACAGTTTTTGTTGTCATTATTTTTAGTATGTATATTATGGAAAAAATATTTTAAATTTTATTATTTTGTTTTGTTTTGTTTATAAAAGGTTTTTTTTTTTTTACAAGGTTTTTATCTAATTTTTTTGAATGAAATGTTTGTACAAAACTACATAAGAAAATAATTTCAATGCATTAATTTTTCATTTATATATAAATATTATCATTGTAAAATATAAAAAAAAAAAAGAAATGAATGACAAAAAATGTCAAAATGAGCTAAACATCATATGATTTTTTGCAATAAAAAAATTTTGCAAATTTTGTTTAGCTCAATATATTATTGCTCATATTATATATATTTTAAACAAACGGTTAGTGAATATTATGTTTAATTTTTATTTTTTTAATCTCGATTTTTTGTAAATTAGTCAATATACAAAATAAATTTTAAAATGTGTCATATGAATTTCATATTTGTTCCATTACCCCATTAACGTTTATTACTTAAAGGTGTAGTAAAATTAGCATTTTTTAAATATAATGAAAATCGTAGCGGAATAATATTGTTTTTTAATAGAAACGTGCTTGTCATTTTATATCAAAGATTTATTTAAATTAAATTTTTTTCTACTTACAAAATTAGTATGATGAAATGAATATCCGAATTTTTTAACGGTCTCCAGCTTGTTTGTGAACTGTGCGCGTTGGGTTTCATAAGTTGGCATCCTTTTTTAAGTATGACGACGCTTATGTATCGGAGGTTATTAATTATCTTCAATGTTTTTTATAATTATTCCTTTCTTCAATATTGTTTCGAGTTTTAAAGTTAATATATTTGAATATAGAATGTAATTGATACTTTTTTAATAAAATTTTGTTACATAATGAAAAATCATTCAGAGACAAAGCATTTCTGCTCAATTTTTTTATTTGGCGCTATGCTGTAACGGTTTTTATTATTTCTAACGCTTTTTACGAATGGTTTCGAATGTAAGTAGAAATTTTTGATTTGTTTAAACATTTAATGTATTTTTAAAATACTTAACACAATTTGTAAAAAGCAATAATTATTTGGCAATACAAAAGGAGATCATTAGGTACTTCCTTTACAAACCAACTTTTCTTTTTTTGTAAAAATAGTATATTGGTATATTTATAAGGTACATTAATAAATTTCTACTAACAAGTAAAATTTTTTAGTACAGGTGTAAATAATGGCAAGTGTTTGCGACGTTATTTGTGCTTTAGAAAAGTTTGAGCTCAATTTAATTGAGAAACAATGGTCTGATGATATTTGGTCAAGCGATTTTACATCCTGTCCAGATGATTTACCTGATGAATTTTCTGATAAATTTTCACCATTGAGCTTTTGTGATATTGTTCAAGTATTTGAAGAAGCTGAAAAAATGATAAATCTTTGGCTAACAACCACAACTACTGATATTTCGCATATTAGTAATTATGATACAGATTCTTCGAGTAGTTCGATGAGTGCAAATCCTAGTTGGACGTTGCTTCAAGATGTTAATTACAAACAATTACTAGCATTAATATATTTTTATACATGCAAGGGTCAAGTGAATAATCAAGATAAAAATTTAGTTCTCACTTGCATTAAAGCATCCAAGTTTTATTTTACATTGTTAATCATACCTGGAAGTGACATATATAAAATATTTCAAATAAATTTATTTGAAAAATGTCTAGAGTCGTTATCGTTGCATAAATTTTTAGAAATTGCAACAGGCAGAAAAATTAAAAAAACAAAAGTTAATAAAAAAAATGAAGAATTAAGTTCGGATGAAGAATATCTTGAAATGGATGAAACGTTAACACTGTCACAGCAACAAAATGTAGTTAAACAGTTAAATTATTTAATGTCTACTTTTCAGAATTTTGTCAAAAAATTTAGCTTTAAAAAATATCCCGAAGCATTAAATATGACACTAACTGTTTTAGCAGAATTAACTAGATTAGAAAGAAATAGTAGTTTACAGGATTTTTCTGTTAATAATACAATTACATCATTTGTGCCTTTATCAAGAAATGCATATTTAACAATGAAAGACTTGTGTGTACCTTATCATGGAAGAGTTTCAGAAATTATTAGACTTGTATTATTTTATATTATGCCAAATTTAACTTCAGTAAGTTTTTAATTATAAGTTATTTAATTTGATCCCTGATAAAATAACAAAAAATTAAAATTTGTTCTGTTTTTTTTGTAGATAGGAGGTCTTGCCAATCCTGAAATAAATAAACTTAGCCAAAAGGAATTGACCAATATAAGAAATATTGCAATTTCCTTTATAACTGAAAATATAATTTCTTTAGGAAATGATTCTCATTTAGGATTAAAAATATTAATTCAACAATTGTGTTTTAATATGATTGATCGTGCTGATTATCGTTCAAAGGCAACTGATATGGTACTAGCAATATTGTGTAAATTACCCACAGAATTATATTATGTTTTAATGAAATGGATTTTTCGAATGTCAATGATGGAAGGTGCACATCACAGAGTTATAAGTTTAGAACTCTTATCAAAGTTAATATTTATGAAGCCTGGAACTGATGATGTTTCAAAACTAACGGAATCCCAGTTTCAGCAAATGGAATCACAATTACAAAGTTCTGAAAATTTAATGGGATCTAAAAGTGAACTTTTGAAAACTGATTGCATGTCCACTTTAAGTCAAGGTATTACTTAATTACTCAAATTACGGCTTTTTCAAAAACTACACAATTTTTAAAACTAAAATTTTTTTAAATGTTATATTTCAGTACCAATTGTTTCGTTTGCTCAACCCGTAAATTACATACCTTTAGAATTTCGTCGAGTAATGCTGGCAGTAATTATTGATCGTATCAGGGACGAAGCAGCCATTGTAAGGACTCGAGCTTTGTCGGTACTCTCCGATGTGATATCAAACAAAACGTCTCAAAGCTTACAAATTATTCTCAAAGAATTATTCCTTTCTCGGTATTCTGAAATCAATGAAATAAATCTTCAAAATTTAGATGAAGAAAATGAATTTTTAAAATGGAAATCTTTTGTTAGCTTGCTGGAAAAGGTCAACATTTATTTTAAAAAAAAATAAAATAATTGTAAAAATAAGTATTTATATTAAGGAAATAATTAAAAATTTTCTTGCTATTCTAGTTTCAAGATGTGGATGTAGCAAAGCATATGTTTCCAGGAGGTAAAGTTATCGTTAGAAAAGTTTTTGATAAATGTTTGGACGAAAGAGTTAATGTTCGAAAGGCAGCACTTCAAGTTATATCAAGTCTTTTTAAATTTTCTTCAAAATGGATGAACAGCGAAGCATTAGCGGTAATTTAATTTAAATTAAAATTTTTTCAGATTAATATATAATTTACTAATTATTACATGCAAACGTCAGAATTAATGAATTTGTTGGGTTTAGCTATTCGGTAAGCACTGTCGAGATCCTGCACTTTCAATTAGAAAAGATATGTCCAACAGCTTGACAGAACTTGTACTGCTTTTTCCCGATAAAGAAGAATTATTAGAACTTTGGGTCGAAGAAGTCGTTCCTTTAATTATGGATCGAGAAATCAAAGTTCAAGAACAAACTCTTCAGGTAAACATAAACGGTATTTCACATTTTTAATTCTACTTAATAATATTAATAAAAATCATTTTTATTTTTAAAAACTAGATTTTCACTAACGTCATTTTAAGTAGAATTAAAAGTTATCACGATATACAAAATCAATCGGATCAACTTCCTTGGAAAATATTAGATAAAATTGCTAGACAGAATAAAAAAAGTTTCTTTATGAGCGCTTGTTCTTTCTGGAGCGAATCTGGAAATTTTAATCAAACCTTAATTTCAACATTAAAAACTCACATCGGAACCCCCAATGACACACCGGCTTGGGTTTTCCTTTCCTGCATATCCGAATATTTCGATATCGAAAAACCGGAATTCGTTATGGATTATTATCAAAGTACAGTATTAGAGGTTAGTTTAAGATTAGGATTAGTAATTTAACTTTAATAATAAGCTGTTATTTTTAATTTAAATTTAAAAAAAAAATTTTCTTCTGCAGAATACTGGAGATATCAGAAGCTCATATTTTGCTTTACTAACTTTATCAACTTCTTGGCAAAAATTATCAAGAGTTAAAAAAGAAACTTTACAAATAAATATGTACAATGCTTTAAAATCTTATTCGGTCAATCCGACGTTTGTTTCTTTAACCGTTGAAATTGTTAGTGGCGTAACGGTCGTTCTAGCAGAAGATGAATTATCCGGTAAAAAAGAAGTTGCTAAATGGGGAATCGAATTAATTCAGGTACGAATCGGTCAATCTTTTTGTTTTTATTAAATTTGCATCTGAAACTAAAACATAGTAAAATTGATTTATAATAAATTCAATATTTTCTTTTAGAATTGTGAATCTCATTTAGAAAATTGTCTAGATATTTCTACCGAAAAAAAAAATAATGCGTGTTCAAGTTGCATAAATATTTTAGCACTACTAGGAGCACTCGCAGAATTGTGTCCGAATAAAATTAAAAATCCAACATTTTCATTGCTCTTCAATTATCTAATGGATACAAGTAAATAAAATCCATAATGGACTTAAATTGAATACCTAATTTTTTAAAATTCAAGTTAATTAAAAAAAAAAAAAAATTTTACTTTGCAGGCTCGAAAAATTCAGCGCACGATCGAAAAATGTGTGCAATGATAGTCATCACGATATCGAAAATGGCTTTGCATAATGATTTATTTGCACGTAATTTGGTTGCTGGATTAGCTCAAATACTTTCACAATCTTGCGATCCGATCGTTTTAAATAACGTAATAGTAGCCATTGCCGATATCGGAGAAAGGTAAATTTAAATTAGAAAAGTTAATCCCGAAAATAAAATTAATACTTACGAATCTTAATTTTTTTTTTTTTTTTTTTTTTTTTACTTTCAGTTACGCTAGTTTAATCGAACCTGTTATACCTTTCTTTTCCGTATGTTTAAAAAGCAAACATCAAAGTTTAAAAGAAGTTACAACGGTTTTATTAGTCGAATTACTTCAAGAAGATTATTTGAAGGCTCGAGACGTTTTAGTTTTTCATCTTTTGACCATGGTTAACGAATCGAATCCTTGGCTGGTTAATATTGTAAAATATTATTTCACTAATTCTCTTTTAGCTCGTAATCCGAATGTAAGTTTACGTACATGTATTTAAAATTAATATTTTATAAAAATTTTAATTTTATTTTAATTTATTGTTACAGAAAATGTATCAACTTCTTTTACCAGCATTGTTTCACTTTAATAATTTTACCGATCATCCCGATTATCCGAAATTAAACATGACGGATTCCGAATGGAAAGTGTTTGATTTGAGCGGTCCGGAACATCATTTTAATCGTATGAATATTTATAAATTTATGGTGTCGAATGTTCCTTACATGGTTAAAATGAAATGTTTACATTTTATTTGCACCGTGGTAAGCTAAAATCCTCAACATTTTCTTCTTCTTTTTACTATCAAAATGGAGTCAATTTTTGAGAGTTTGTTTTTTTTCCCTTAGGTTTTGAACGGCGCTGCCGATGGTATAATAAACATTAAAAGTAAAAATGGCGAACAACTTTTGTTCGATGCTTTTTGCGTGTTGACGATGCCAGAGATTAAAATAGAGTGTAACGATTTGGTTAAAAATAAAAACGATGAGGGAGAGGAGGAGGATTATCAAAAGCAAATGCCTCTCTGCAAACTCGTTAAACAAATGTTGACGGCGGTGCAAAAAAAAGAAATTATTGAAACGATTATTCCCATTTGTTGCAAGTTGAAGAAAAAACTATTGTCGGAAAATAAGAAATTGTTGCCTTATTTGCGTAAATTCATTCGAGAACTCGTAAAAGATTACAAAAGCGAATTCAACGAAATATTTAAAGAAGATAAACAATTTGGAATTGAAATCCTTCACGAACTTGATTCGACTAAAAACAGTGAAGTGAGCGAAGATGAAAATCAAGAGGAAATGATACAGGAAATGATCTTTAGAAGCAAAGACAAACCAGAAAAATCAATTTGCAATATTGAAATGTTAGATGAAAATACGGAGGGAAAAAAAGGGAGCGAAAAAACTGATTTAGATAAAAGCTTATCGTTGCCACCCGGGGAACTCCCCGAAAATGATGATGATAAGAATAAAAAATTAAACGAGTCTTTAAAACTCGATGAAATCGATAACAATGAAATTGATGGAAATGATTTAAACGAAGTAAATACGAGGCGAAAAAGTATGGATACTAAAAATTCCGGTGAATTGAAATGCGTTAACGAGGAATTAAACGATGAGAAAAATTCCTCGAAAGAATTGGACGAACCTGACGGGGGGATTCAAAATCCTCATCAATCAAATTGTGATGGTAAACGAGTCCAAGAATGTCTCGAAGATAATAAAGTGAAATCGCTGAGGATTTGCGTCAATCGTCTCAATTCGAAAATGGACAAAAGTAGGATTTCGTCTTCGTGTCAAGCCACTCCTTCGGGAAATCCCGAAGTGAGAAAAAAACACGCGAAATTAAACCAATTGAAAAATTCGAAAAAAAATAACGAAGAACATGTCATTATGAAAAAAGCAGTGGAACAAATCGTTCTACCGACTCATTCGAAAACCCTCGTCAAAAATAAAAAACGATCCCTAACGAACGGAAGGACGAACAGCATGCAAAGTCCGACGACTCCGATTTTCGAAGGAAAAAAAGAATTATTGACGAGCACGCCATTGATAACAATCGACAATCCAGATTTTGGAATGGATTTAAGTTCCGTCGTCAACGAAACTAATTAATCGTAATAACAATAGACTGATAAATTTGATGAGGAAAAAAAAAAAAATCAAATGTTTTCAGTCTTGCAAAACGTAGGAAAAAATACCACATAATTGATCTCTTTATATTTTCTTATCGAAAATCATCAAAAAAAAAAAAAAAAGAAAAAAACGTTAATTATTTAATTACGATTGCATAATGAATGCTGTTTCCTTTGTAATATTTTTTTTTTTTATTTATTTTAATATCACACACGATCAATAAGTACAAATTTAATTAGTCTAGTAATTAAAAAGTAATAAAAATTGATTTATAAAATAAATATATATTAAATCATTGTAATATAGGAGAAAAAAATGAAATGGAAAAAATGCTTGTTCGTTAAACAAAAATATCGTTTTTAATTAATTAAATGCATTTAAAATAAAATTTAAATACAGTATTAATAATAATAATAATGATAAACTTGAAAATATAAGCACGTGCACGTATGTATGTAATTAATGAAATTAATGTAAATAAAATGTATAATTTACTGTATTTTGTTAAAGAAATAATAATAATAATAATAATTTTTTTTACATATAATTTCAGTAGTCGTTTGAAATATTATTAATGACGTATAAAGGGTACCCGTTGGTATCACGCCCAAATCATTTCAATTTCGGTATCGATAGATAAATTTATATCAGGAACGGTTAATACCTGTAAATAAAAAAAAGAGTAAATTTATGTACATAATGTTATTATCGTATTTAATTATTTTATATGAAAATTTATGAGTTAAAAAAAAATATAATTATTATTATTATCATATATGATTAATTTTATACTTACGGATTGCGTATGGGTAAATGTTTTTTCTTTATTATTTAATATAACTTTTTTTACATTTTGAATTATTCCCAGGATTTTAATTGTTTCGACATCCAGGATTTGTGAAACATTCCATAGAAGACATTTGGTCGTTAACGTTTGATTTATCAAATTAAATTTAATTAAACCGTAATTTTTATTTTCAATTGTATCTAAATAATGTAAATAATATTTTAATAATTATTATTTATTAATTTATTATTTTTTTTTTTAGATAAAATATTAATTTATTAATTTACCGGGAGTTAATCCGTCATCCCAGAATAAATCTCCGTGTGCCACGCCTTCACTATCTGGAGCTACCAATAAGGTAAAATTATTTTTTCGACTGAAAAAAAAGAAAAATTTTTTTAAAATTTATTCGTTACAAATTTTTTACTTATTTGTTTTTCTAGAACCTTTCAAAGGTTGTTGTCGACGGTTTTTGCATTGGTAATATCGTTCCTCCTCTTAATAAAAGTGGTATGCGTTCATCGTCTGCTTCTAATGAAACTTCTTGTCCTTTACTGTTTATTTCCGTACTGTTGTACCAATCGTACCATTTTCCACGTGGTAAATATATTTTGGTTTTTGTGGTGTTTTCCTGGATAATGGGAACAATTAACAAACCGGAACCCCATAAAAATGCATTATCAATATCGTGAGTTTTTTCGTCATTTGGATACCTAAAAAAAAAACAAATTTTTTTTTTTGTTAAATATTAATTTTTTATAAACTTTACATTTAGATAATTTTAAAAATGGTTATATTTTCTTACTCGAAAAACAATGGTCTTGCTACCGTTTCCCCATTTATGTGAGCCTTGTAAAATAACGTGTACAAATATGGAAGCAGGGAATACCTGATGTTAAGTGCATTTATAGAACTGTTAATAACTCTTTGACCTAACGCCGCTGGATCTTGATCCTGAAGTAAGTTTTTTTTAATTATTATTTAAAAATTTAAATAATGAAAATTTTTTAATTGACATTTCTTACTTTGTTGCCTATGGAATTATGATTTCTTGAAAATGGATAAAATGCACCCAATTGCATCCACCTGTTACATAAACTTTCTGTTGTGTTACCGTTAAAACCGCAAATATCAGCTCCAGCAAATGGAATACCGAATAAACTCAATGAAAGAAGTTCTATAAAAATTTGGATTTTTTTAAAATTACAATTTGAAGTTTTTATATAAAAAATTTTTTTTGCATTTGATAAACCTACCGGAAATCGATCTGTACAAATCATGCCAAGTCGAAAAATTGTCTCCTGACCAATGAGCTGCGTATTTACCACTTCCGGCAAATGTCGACCTTGATAAAATAAAAGTTCTTTTGCCTAATGTTTTGTGAAGAGCTCTAAAACATGGTAATTTTTAATTTTTTTTATAAATGTTAAATTTATCGTTGTTAAAGCTAAGAGAAACTCACCGTGCGGTGATATCTGATTGGCTTATTCCATATAAGTTATGTACGTCATAATGATTTCCAGCAAATTGTTTGGCTGTCATGCAAAGAGTTTTAAAATTTAATAATCCTTTGTCGACGCCGGGAACGTAGGGAGGATTTTCTAAATGACTGTTTGGACATCCTTCAAAACTTCCATTTAAAAAGTTTGATGGCTCGTTCATATCCTGAAAAATTGGACGTGTTCACAGCCATAAAGTTTTATGGTTCTTAGTTTTTTAATTTAAGTAGTTTCTACTGAAAATTTGTACGGTCATAACAAACACTTACGATCCATAAACCATCAAACGGAATTTTTTTATGAAGTTCCTGAATGTGTTTAGCCCAATATTTTTCAACCTTTGGATTTGTAAAATCTGGAAAAACTGTGCTTTTAGGATTCCAAACTTTTCCTACGAAAACGCTTCCATCTTGATTTTTAATAAATATATCATCTGCTATTCCATCGTCGTACGGGGAATAACTTCCATGAGGTTCAGATGCACTCACTCCGGGATCTAAAATTAGTACGTAATGCATTCCAGCTTTGTGAATATCATCGACAAGTTGTGGCAAATCGTGAAATTTTTCTGGATCAATGGTAAAATCATTTTGATTATGCATGTAATCAATGTCGTTATATTGAACATCCTAACAAAAAAAAATTTAATATTATTTTTTTTTAAAGAAAAACGTTTAAAAATCTAAAACGTGCGATCAACTCACAAATGGAATTTTCGCATCCATAGTTCTTTGCCATACTTCTCTGGTTTTTGCAGAACTTCCATATCCATATCTGATAAGGTTAATCAATTTAAATTTTAAAGATAAAAATTAATTTTATTTAAAAAATTTATTTTGCAATTGTTACTCGTTTTTTTTTTTTTTAGATTTAACTAACTTGCAAAGTTGAAAACCTAAACTCCAGTAGGGTGGCAAGAATGGTCTTCCAATTAATTCTGTATATTGACTTATAACATCAGCAGGTGTGGGACCCATGAAAAAATAAAAATCTAATACTCCTCCTATCGTTCGGTAAGTTATTGCTGGAAGAGGTTGAAGAAGTACATCTGTAATAAATAAATACGTTACAATAAAAGCCTTTGTTCTCCTCCTGTATTAGGTGATTATAAACTCCAAGTGAAAAAAAAAAAAACTGACCCATGGCATTGCTATTGTGTAAATATACTCCATGGCTTTTACCGTCGGGCTCCATAATCAGATAAAAAGGATGACTTCCGTACAAATTTATCTAGAAGAATGGATAATTATCATAAAGTTTTCGGGTGAGTGAGTAAACATTTATTTAAAAAAAAAAAAAAAAAGGGGGAATTTACTTCTTCTGCGGGAGCAGCATCATGAGCAAATATTGTAAATCTTGTCCAGTTGGTATCCAGAGAAAATTTCGATCTGTGTTCTCCAAGACCGTAAATTTTTCCATTAAATTTTGAACTTATTTGTAAAAATTGATCGGAAAATATCAGGGCACCGACATTTTGAGTGTTAAATCTTTAAAGAACAAACAATTGAAAAGTTAAATTTTTATAAAATGAAATTACACAAAGTCTTTCTTATATAATGAGAGTCTTACAAAACATTTCCATCCCTTCTGGAAACTTTGAATCCCGTTTGTTTTAAATCGATGTCGACTCTGTAATTAGGAGTTGAAATATTTGTTGTTTCGGTGAGATTTTTCTTTACTATTTTCGGATAAGGTGATTCATATCTTTCGCGATCAGCATCCGATATCTAATGGTATAAAAATAGTTTGTTGCGTTAATTTAATTATTTAATAAATAAAATTTTAAATTTCAAAATAACAAACCTTAATTCTCAGTCTATTATCAGTTTGATATTCGACATCAATTCTTAAATTTTTAACATCGTTAGGATAAGGCGATGAAAACGTTCGGTTCATGAAAGCTAAATCTCCTTGTTCAGTTCTCGTTAAATTTATATATTCGTAACCTCCATAATTTTTCGGATAATAACACCATGGAACGTCTAATGGTGGAAAATTGAAATGAGATGGACGATGGGATTCGTGTCTCGGTTGCCAACAGCATCCTCTTTTCGTACAACTTTTTTCATCGGCTCCATTTTCCGGATAACAATCAAATTTTTCCAAATCGGATATATTCGTACATTCTTTCGAATTAACAAATAATAATGATGATGATGAATTTAAAACGACGAACCAAATCGATATTATTAATAATAACTTGTTGATTTTTTCCAACATATTTTTTTTTTTTTTTTATATTTTTTTCAACATTAGCTTAACTAAAAGTTATGAAAACAGAAAACTTATTAGTCAAACAATTCGTATCGTTTGTCGATTAAATAATTTATTTTGAATTAAATTTTGTATTTTTATATTTAACTTGAATCACGTTGTCCAAGGGCAAACATGTAAAATTATTGATAATGCTTTGTCTGATATGGATTATTTACAGATAAGAGACTTTTTAATCGAATTTTTCAATTTCGACCGAACAAGAATTAGTTATTAGTTATTTGAATTTTGTTGTCAGATAATAACTTACTAACTAATTTTCCTTTTTTTTTTTTAAAAAGTTTTTCATGTCGTAATTTATTTACCTGAGAAAATTTCACAGTCGAATTGTTCATAAATATTATTATTTAATTATCACCATTTCTATTAATATGTTGCATCTTCACTATTATTTTGTATATAATTAGTAGAAAAATATAAAAAAAAACGTTTGAAAATAATAATAAAAATCGTTTTTAAAATACTTCTTTTATTCCCTTCTTCTTTCTTAATTAACGCAAAATTATATGCGAGTTCATAGAGAGATACAAACACATTTTTTAAATTTGTTGCCAACTTTAAGAAGAGAAAAAAAAAAAAAAAAAAAAAAGTTTTGTCGAACTTTATTATTTTTATTTTATAATTTTTTTTATAACTTGACATATTTTTTTAGGATAAATATAAAAAATAATGGATTTTTTAGAAGTTTATTCGTTACCACCGGGGAATAAGCCAAAATACATACCGAAAATATACGATAGTGAAAAAGTTGAAAATAATAAAAGATTTAATAGATTTTTATTATTTATCGTACATAATACTTTTTGGCATTTTTTACAGCTTCTTGGAGTCTACATAAGATTCATAATGACGCTTTACGATATTGGTTTTAGACCTAGATCGCGATCATTAGAAACATTTAATTATATAACAGTTGTTTTAGATGCATTTTATTTTTTAGATGTTATTTCACAAATAATTTACAGGTATAACTAATTAACTGATTAACTAACTAACTGACTGACTGTTTAAAAGTTTATTAATTGTAATAATTGTTTGCTTTTTTTTTTTCATTACTTAGAAAAAAATGGCCGAAATCAACGTCAAGATTGAAAAAAAATGCACCTTATTTGTCTAGATTGGTTTGGAGGAATAATATGTTTCTTCCCCGGCCGATATGGATGTTGGTTTTCGATATAATATCATTATTACCATTTTCATTAGTAAAAAATGTTTATGTGGATTCGACATATATTTTTTTATGGGAATTCCCATCGGCATTGAGAGTTTACAGAGTTCTCGCTCATTACGGTTACTTTTAAAAAATTTTCATTTGTCATTTTTTTTTTTTTTTTTTGGCTTTTTACACTTGTTGATATTAACACAAAAATATTGTTTTTTTTTAAATTTTTTAGGTTCCGAAGCTAAAAAAATATCACCGTCAACGAACAAATCCCTTGGTTTATTTTTAAGAGCTGGAATGTTTTGGATGATATTGAGTCACACGCTTGCTTGCATATGGGGCTACGTAGTATTTTTTTTATTTATTTATATTAATTTTATTTTAATATCAAATATTATTATTACCGTTTATTTAAATCTCATTATTATTTAGTTAGATAAAATAGATATAAATTTTTCGATAAGAGATAATTCGACGAATGATTTGAAAGATGAAAAACCCTTTCACTACTACATATTTTTATTTTATTTTGTTTTCACAGGATTGACAAACATCGGGTAATTTTTTTTTTTTTTTTTTTATTAATATTTTATTCTATTCGTTATTTAATTTTTTATTGAAAAAAAGAAAAAAATATTATTTTAATCATAAATAGATTCGGTGATATTATACCAACTTCGGATGGTGAAAAATTATTAGAAAGTTTAGTCATGCTCGTGGGATTTATTTTACTCAAAGGATATTTAATTGCTACATTAACATCCGTTTTAACAGAAAAAGCTAGAAGGTTGACGTACCTTAAATTTCGTTTAAGTCTCATGTCTTTCGAAATGGCAAGAAATTTAAATTTAAATTTAATTTCATTACATTACAAGTACGAAATTAATTGTAATTAGTGTTGTATTTTTTTTTTTTTTTTTTTCGGTTTTCATTACGTACAGGAACAAAAAAAAGTACCTGAATCAATTTGTAAAAAAATAATAAAATTTTATCATTCACTAGTTGCTTATAGAAAAGGAATTGGAATATTAAATCGTTTGCTTTTAACATTACCAGATTCATTTTCAATACAAGTTTATAATGATTTATTTGTAGCAGCTTTAAATACAGTGAAGTATTTATTATTATTATTATTATTAGAAAAAATGATTTTTTTTTTTTTTTTTAGTATTTATTATTATTATTATTATTTATAATGATGGATTTTTTTTTTTTTTTTTTTTTGTATTATAGTCTTTATTATTTAGATCTTGTGACGAATTTAGCAAGCGAGCCATTGCAAGAATAATGAGAGTCGAATTATTTATGGCCGGTGATGCCATATTGAAAAGGAGAAAATTTAATTCGAAAATGTTTTACGTCAGAAAAGGAACCATTCACGTATAAAAATTAATTTTTTTGTTCTCCCCTTTCCTCTCCTCTCCCCCCTCCCCCTCCAACCCATATTGTTTTGTTTAAAAAAAAAAATTTTTACGCAGATGATTAATTAATGTATTTATTTTAGATAATGTCTTATCAGGACGATGCAACGGAAGTTATGACTTTTGGTGCAGGTACAATATTTGGACAAATATCATTATTACTTTCCCTACCGGCAAAAAGTGAAGTTCATGCGGCGACTTTTTGCGAAATTCACAGTTTATCTAGAAAAAGACTTTTCAGAGTTTTAAAAGATTATGCGCATGCAAAAAAAATCATACAAAATGTTCATAAGGTAGAAGTAAATATTATGAAACGTTTTAAATATTTTTAAACATGTCGATAAAATTATCGAGTTTTTTTTTTTTTTTTTTTTTTCAAGAACATGCTGTTGAATGCAATGGCCGATAAATCAGAGTGAGTTGATAATTTTGTTTTAAATTTATACTTTTCGAATGATTGTTTTATTTACATGATTTATTTATTTTTTTAGTAAACATAAAAGAAAAGCTCCGGGAAATTTACTCACGACTTATTCCTTTTACAAAGTTCCCATTGAGACATCGAAACTTGCAAGAGACGATATATGCATTGTAACTCGATGCCCTTATATATTTATGCCGGATACGATTTTCATAAAAGCATGGAACGTGTTGATAACCATTATCATAATCGTACGCATCATAATAAATATCAAATATTCATTAATTTTAACGTGGCTGACAATTTTTTTTTCTTTTATTTTTAGTTTATATGTTTTTACTATCCGTATCAGGCAGCATTTGCGAGAGAATATAAAAAAGATTTAGAACCTTTATTTATAATCGTGGATTTGGTATTTCTTTTAAATTTATATTTAAGTCTTTCGACGTCGGTTATACGTGAAAATGGTAAATTTTCCATCGTCTTATAAATTATTTTATGTTTACCTAATAACTTTTATTATAATTAAAAAAAAAATTTCTTATTTATTTGTAGTATTGTTTTCAAGCTTGCGAGATATCGTACCTGCTCGATTGACAACGTTAAATACCGTCTGCGAAATAATCGCTATCATACCTGCACATTATTTTATTTGGCACACGAATAGATTAAAATCTGTTATTTTGTGTTTAAAATGTGTCATGTTTTACAAAGTAATTACAATATTCCACCCCCTTAATTCTAAATCACGTGATTTGAAATGATGGTTATTTTTTGTAGGTTCATCTGGTATTTAAAACTGCAGAATGGAGCTATGGAAAAACAACGATATTCCTTCTTCGTCTTATTAAATACGTTTTATACTTTTTATTCGGAGCTTATATAATTGGAATTGTATTTTATATGGAGGCTTGCTACGTCGAGTAAAAAATTTTCTTTTTTTTATTTTTATTTAATTTCTTTTTTTTTTTTTTTTTTTTTTAAAAAAAAAAATTATTTTATTAAATAAAATTTAATAATTTTTAGTCCATGTTTGCAAGATTCTTGGTACGTTACCACGAGTTCACCAAACAGATCAGAACCAATATGGGTTTCATTTTATTTTGCTATAATTGTAAATTTTTTTGTTAAATTAATTTAAATTTTTTTTTTTTTTTTTAACATCACTCTAAAACTTTTTTTTTAAAAATAATTTTTAGGTAATAAGTGGCACAGGATTCGGAGACATCGTACCTAATAATATAACGGATATAATTTACGTCATTGGATTTATTATTTTCGGCGTATTGCTTTTAATTTATCTTATAGCCGATTATTCTGCAAATCTATCGCTTAGTAGAGAACCGAGGTTTGCAACAAAAAAAAATTATTTATTATTATTATTATTATTATTATTATTACAATAGAATAAATAAATGTAATTCATTCAGGCAAGAATTTATTGAATTGGCTGAAAGAGTTAATTCATTTTTGAGAAGTCAAAAAATGTTAAAAAGCGAAAGAACTCGCGTGAGACATTTTTTAAATCTTCAATGGGAAAGAAATAGCGTAAGATTTTTAAATTTATTAACCCTGTTATTATTATTATTATTATTAAATTTTTATGAAGTTATTTACTCACGCGCACACACCCACACAGGGATACGAATTCACATCGGAAAATCGTTTATTTTACGACATGCCAAAACATTTACTTTACACTATAAATCAATTTACAAGAACGGACGGTGTTAAAAAATTAATAATATTTAAAAAATTAGGATCGGAAATATTGGGAAATTTATTAAACAGTTCAATAAGAAGAATATTTCCACCACACGAAGTTGTCATTTATGCTGGAGAAATATGTGACAGTCTCATCATTCTCGAACAAGGATATTGCGAAGTTATACAATTTAAATTACGTAAATTTTTTTTACCCCCTTTTTTGTAACCTGTACTTTATAACCGCCATTTTTTTTTTAAAGGTTACCTATGGAAAAGATACGTCGATAACTAAAATAATTCACGCTGGACAAGATATAGGACTTGTTGAATTTATGTTAGGTATGATTGATTATTGATTGAAATGAACCTTTTTTTTTTTTTTTGTTTGAATCATTTATTAATCGTAAATTAATATTTATTTATTTATTTATTAGATATGACTTCGTTTTGTCACGTTCGAACATTGACTCATTGCGTTATTATAAAACTTCAATCGAAAAATTTAATACGAGCTTTTTCTTTAAATCCCATCATAGCGGCCGAGTTTAAAAAATCAATTGAAATTTTTGCTAAAAGTCCCGTAAGTAAAATATTTAAGTTGAATTCCTCGATTTCTATTACAATATTCTCATTTATCCAGATTCTCAAAGATGCAAAAAAAAATCAACCCGTTTTATTACATTTAACCGTGAGAAAAGCCGTACAAGAATCATTTTACAGATTTCGTTATTATAGAAAACAAGGTGGAAATCAAGAATTAAGAGATCCGTATTTAAAACTAGGATTGTGTCAATGGCTGAGGTAACCTTCGAAGAAAAGATTTAATTTTTCAGGGATTTATTCGGAAAAATACATAATTTTCTTTCCTTTTTTTTTTTTTAGGTATCTACTGTTTAGAGTTACCGTATTACCATATGGTAATTTTCTCAAACGTTGGGAATTTTCACGTTGCATATTTGCTTTTCTTTCATCATTGATTTTTCCCTGTCTACCTTATTTCGAATTAGAATTTGGATTTTTATATTATCTATCAATAATACTCGACATAACGGCTTGGGTTGATATGTACGTGTAATTTAAAAATTTAATTTATTTTTAAAATGAATTGATTTGATTTTTTTTTTTTTTTATTCAGGTATTTTCGATGTCACGTTTGTTATTACAACAAACAAAATATTTTAGTGACTCATCCATTGTGGACTTTGGGTCATTATTTAAAAGGGAATTTCGTTTTGGATTTTATTTTTTCTTTTCCATTCGATAGAATTTTATATCGTCCCATATACGATGTTAACGATGAAGCCATGTACGTCATACGCTTTTTTTTTTTTTTAACCGAAAAAAATAAATATTTAATTAAAATTAATTTATATTTTATTTCAGAGTGTCATCGAATGCAAATAATTTATTGCGTATATTACGAGTGGGTCAAGTTTATAGAATTCCAGTTACTTTAAGTACTGCTGGAGTGGATTTCCTTTCACCTCCTCATCTTTATTGGTACCTTTTCTTTCTTTTCTCTTTTTTTTTATTACGTGTATTTTTTTTTACACAAACCTCCTTTTTTTTTTATAAATATTTAGGGTTATCGCAACGGCAACAATTTTAACAACAACATTTGTCAATTTAGCAACGAGTATTTTAATGTTGTGGTGCGTTAATTACAAAGTACACAGGAATGGAAACTACCGTATTATATTTGCGGAATCCGTAGAACAACATTTTACGAACGTTCTCACACAATGTAATTAATATGAAATATTTAAAAATAACAGGTAGTCTGGGAATAAAAAAAAATGTAACGTAACATTTTTATATTAATTTCAGTCGAATTTCCAACTCTTCCATCTTATGTTTTCATAGTCAATTTTTATTGGACTTGCACGACAGCATTCGGTGTAGGTTTTGGAGATATCGTCGGTTCGACACAAGGACTCATGATATACGTAAATATCGTTATTCTCGTATGTAAGTATTATAAACGTTTTTTTTCTATTTTTTTTTTTTTTTCTTTTCAAATTTTTTCAAATTTTCCATAATTTTTTTTTTTTTTAGCGTACCTATATTTTAATTACGTCACTGTAATCATCGCCTCTTATTTAACGAGGATAAATATGAATTTAACGATGTTTCAACAAGGTATGAGTCATTTAATAAGTTTTTTAAAAGTTGAAAACGTTGAACCCATGCTTAGAAAACACATAATAAATCATTTTGAATACATATGGAAAAAAAATAGGGGTTTAAAGGTATAAAAAAAAATTTATAATTAATTTTTAAACATTTATTTAAAATAACTTTTTGTTTATAATATATAATATATATTAGCTCAAACGTTTTTATCATTTTACGTATCTCTATTAAAATGACGTCATGTTTCATTGTACGAAGAACTGTTAAAGAGGTAAATTTTTAATTTTTAAATTGTATTTATTAAATAATTTTTATCCACTTATTTATTTATTATTACAATTAAGGTTCCAGCATTTTCAAATTTGGGATCAGCTTTTCATCGTTTACTATGCAGCAAATTAGACGAGATACATTTTCAATCGGGTGCGGCCATTTACAAACCAGGTGACGTTTTGTCACAATTTTACATTGTGCATCAGGGTGAAGTCACATTGGTTGGAAAAACGGAAAATGAAACGGTCGAATTGGGAAGATCTAAGTACGAAAAAAAAATAAACAAATAATTGTTTTTTAAATTTACGATTTAAAAAAAATCAAATTTTTTTTATTTACAGAATATTTGGAATATTTAAAAACCTTCCAACGGATACGGTTTCCCTATCGGCTGTTGCCACGAAAAACGTAACAATTTTAGGAATCGATTCCCTAATGTTATACAGCATACTTAAAAATTATAAAAAAAGTCACGACGATCAAATAAACGATCAAGATATTGAATTTGAATTTCAAGATGCATTATATATGTCTAATACGATTTCAACCGAATGGCAGGAAGGTACACAAAGGTGTGTGTGTGTGTGTGTCACTAACGAATTTGAACGTATTTCGGAAAAATTATTATTATTAATGAAAATTTTTTTACGTATAATTTTCAGTTTGAGTACGAGCAAATATTACTATCAATTAGTTTATCTAACTTATAACTATTCAAAATTTATATTAGTTTTTTACGTCGTGTTATCACTGTATACGGCAAACATAGTAACGTTTAATTTAGCATTTCAATACAACAGCAAAATCGCATATATTATTGATTTATTCATTGAATTTTTATTCGTTGTAAAAGTAAGAGAATACAAACTAATTATTATTAATAATAATAATAATAATAATAATAATTTACATATAATTTAGTGTAACAATAATAAATAATTAAATTTTTTATAGATCGTTATAGAATTTTTTAAAGGGTATTTGAATGATTTCGGTGAATTCGTATCGGATTTGAGACTCATAAGTAAAAGGTAATTTTTTTTTTTTTTTTTTTTTTTTTTCGTACTTTATTATACGATCTAAAAAAAAAATTTTTTTTGGAATTATTCGATGAAAAAATATATATATATATATTTATTTTAAGGTACATGAAAACGGCAAGTTTTTATCTTGATATATTAAGCACGTTTCCATTTGAAATTTTTTCACTCATAATGGACAAAGAAGATAAACGTAATTATTTGGCAACGTGGTTAAGAATGACAAAATTATTAAGATTGGTGAGTATAAAAAATTTAATATGGTCGGGGTAATGATGATGATATTTTAATTTTTATTTTTTTTTCCAGTATAACGTTTGGTATTTTTTCAATTTGAGATTCGATACGTTAAGCGTAAACATGATTTTGCTTAAAATAATGGCAAATACCGTTTGGACAACAACTCTTGTTCATCAATGTTCTTGCCTTTGGTATTTCGTCTCATGTCCAAATGCATATTGTCCCAATTCGAAATTATGGAACCGTATAAAACGAAGTAAAAAAAAAAATATTTAATATGAAAACGATGATGAAATGAAATAATATCGATTTAAATAAAAAAATTTTTTCTTTTTATTTAAAAATAGCGGCTCCGGATAATACAGAATACGTCAATTGTTTTTATTTTATAATTGCCATAATGACAACAACAGGATTGGGAGACTTGTCAGCGACAACGGTCACAGAAATAATGTGCGTTATTTTTTTTTGTTTTGTTTTTTTCTTTTATACGGCCATATTCATCGGTGAAATGGTATCGAGTACCAACAAGTATCTTTTTTCAAAAACAAAATTCGAATACGAAGTTGAAGAACTCAAGGTTGGGTGGATTAAACGTTTCCCCCCCTCCCCTCCCCCCTTATTATCGAATAATAATCTTTTTTTTTTTTTTTTTTTTAGAATTATCTCATAATCAGTGAAATCCCATACGAAAATCAAAAATTAATACTTAAATATGTGGTTAATTTATGGCGTAACGAAAAAGGAAAACAAGTACCTGATATATTAAAATTTGCACCGACATATCTCGTAAATGAAATTAAACTTTCTACTTATGGAGGACACATAAAAAAAGTATGATTAGAGAGAGAGAGAGAGAGAGAGAGAAACTATTATTATTAATAATTTTTTTTTTTTTTTTTGTTTAAGAATCCATTGTTTAAAAATTGTTCACAAAATTTTCAAAAACAACTCATTTATTTACTTATAAGAACCGTTTTTTATTTTGGTGACGTCATCGTTTTTGAAGGACAGGCAAGTATTGAACCTCTTGTATATTTTATAATTAATTAATTAATTAATTAAAATAAATTTTTATTAATTTTTCAGGTTGATAAAACTGCATATTTTGTACACAGCGGTCAAGTCGTATGTAAAAATTGCAGTGATAAAACAATTTATCGAGAATATTCATTTTTCGGCCTGGTAATTAATTAATTATTCTCCTCCCCCCCCCCTCATTTTTTTGTCTTATTATTATCATTTAATTAATTATTATTATCATTATTTTCAGAGTCAGTGCGTGAAAGAAAGTTTACCACACCATCAAACATTCGTTGCAAATTCATCTTGCGTTATTTTATCACTAAACATAACGAAAGCAAAATTTTTAATAAAATTTTTCCCAGAAGATATGAAATATATTGTAGACAACGTCAACGCGATCGAAAGTAATTTGATGTAATTTTTATAAGCGGGAAAGAGGTAAGAATAATTTTATTATTCATTTTACCAAATGAACCTTTGTTTAATATCAGGTTCCGAAATCCATACAAAAGGTTTATTTATAAATAAATAAAATGTTATAAAATTTACAATCGAGTAAAAAATAGTTTCCGCGTAAACTTGTATCGGTGATTGTTTTAACTGCAGACGCCATATTACGTAGGGAATTATAAAATAACGGATTTCGAATAGAAATTGCGGAGTTAAATTCAGGGCGGTGCAAAGAGTTAATGCAATCTATAATAAATAAATAAATAAAAATAATTATTATCAGTCAAGTATAATTAATAAATAATAATAGTAATAATAATAATAATGATAGTACTAACCGTAAACATAAAATGACATTTTTTTATTAATAATTTATAATATAGAAAACCTGATAGGAGGTATGTCGGAATTATAATTCTTCTATATAAACCATGTCCAAAAATTTTTTTCCATATGTAAAAAGCAATGTGTCTGTTATCGGCTAGTAAATACGGATGTTCCATTTTATTCCATTCGCTTAAAATGCCAATTGCAATAGTTGATAGTATTATTATTATTATTATTACATTCCTCGGTTTTATTTTTATTATTTTTGTTCTCATAGAAAGCAACTAAAATAAAAAAATGTATTAAAAATTTTATATTTCGATAGGATTTCATAAAAAAAAAAAATTAATTAATTAATGTAATCATTACCTCGATTAATGCGAACGGCCAAGAAAAAAAAATTGTGAAATTTAAAAAGTATAAATTTTGCATCGGATGAAATTTAACAGAATGAGCCAATTTATCTCCGACAACAATGCTACCATTCCAAATGACGAACATGATAAAAATACAGCATAGAAATATTAAATGATATGTTTCTATTAAAACATCATTAATAAAAATTTTAATAACATCCCATAGATTTTTGTCTTTCATTTTTAAATTAAAAAAAAAATTTTGAATTATTTTCTGAAAAATATCATCATTTAATTAAGTTTTTTTCACGAGTAAATAAAATTATCAGGTTAACATAAAATTTACCTTTGTAATATTGAAATCTTGTTTCGAGTTAAATTTATAATTTTTACTAAACACTTGCCAACTTTTATCTAATATTAATAATCCCACCCAAATAATATTTGTTTGCCTCATTATAACTGATCCTGCACCTGATAAAGCAACTGTAATGATAATAATTTGACATCGTAAGTGAGAAAATCGTAATTAAGCATGATTTAAATATGATTACACAAAAAATACCTAAAAACTTGGAAATACTATTTTTATTATTTTTTTTCGATAAATATAAGTAATAAGTTAATAAAACAAAACTTGTACTCCATACATCTGTATAATATAAAAATGTAAAAAAATACAATGGTGGAAATGTAGCAATATTAAAACCTGATAAAACTATTAAATGATTTCGACTTGTAACTTTCTGGAAAAAAAAAAGAAAAAAAAATAAGTTTTATTTTACATAAGAAAGGAAGGAAGGAAAAAAGTTGAAATACTTGCATATTTTTCTTCGAGACGTTTTATCACAGATATTGTTAAAATAAAATTTAATAGAGTTCCTATAATATTTGTTGCTCTTAAACCATACACAGAACAATAATTGTCATATTGAAATAAAGTTTTAAATAAGTTTAATATGACATACGAGACGATGTATAATCCAGGCAATGTCGTGATTTTAGGATTCCACTAAAAATGTTAAAAAGTCGACGTTTTTAATTTATTAATAATTGTTTTAAAAAAAATGATGAATACTACACCTCTGTCCAATTATTACTGCAATAAGTTTGAGCTTGAGGTATATGAAAAATTTCATCAATGTAAGGATATTTTTGATATTCGTAAATAACGTTTAATATTTTAACGGACACGTAACCGAGAAAAAAAAACAAAGTAACGGGTAATAATAAATGGTACGAAGTCATTTTTTTTTTTTATTTCGTTTTAAAAATATTATTTATTAGAAGAATATTATAATAATTTAATCAACGCGTAATCATTTTTTAATAGAGTTTTTATCTGAAAAAGTCGGTATTTTGTTTTGAAAGGTAAAAATGTCGCCAAAAGATAAAAATTATTTTTCTCCAGTGTCGTAACAAAAAGTGAATTGTCGATTTACGGGTAAAAAAAAAAAAAAAACCGGTGGTATATTGTGCAATTTCCTGCAAATAAAAAATAAAAATTAATATTTAATTTAATTAAAAAATAAATAAAATGGCTTGGGTTCCTTTAGAAGCTAATCCAGATGTAAGTAAATGTTACAATATATATATATTTTTTTTAATTTTTCAAATGAAGGATTATAATTTTATGGATTTTTTTTTTTTAAATGTTATTTATCAATTTTTTTTTTTTGGAATATAATTAGAAAAAAAAATTTTTTAAATTCCGATTTTAATAATAATTGGATTGGGGTTTTTTTTCTTTTTTTACATTCCAGGTTATGAACACGTTTCTTTACAGACTTGGAGTGCCTCAAAAAATTAAAGTCGTCGACGTATTTGGTCTCGATCCAGAATTATTGGCAATAATACCACAGCCAGTATTAGGACTTCTTTTATTGTTTCCTTGTGATGATAAAGTAATTATTATCCATTTATAAAATATCGAAATGGAATGATTTACATTTAACTGTTGTTAATTTTTTGACATTTTTTTTCCTCACAATAATAATAATAATAATATAAATTGTAATTGTAGTATGAAGAATATAAAAATAAACAGGAACAAGAATTAAAAAAAAAAGGACAAGTTGTATCTAACAAGTTATATTTCATGAAGCAGTTTGTACATAATGCTTGTGGTACGATTGCTCTCATTCATAGCATTGCTAATATTGAAAAGTAAGATGGACGTCTCCTCGATTATTTTATATTAAAATTTTTACCCATTTATTTATTTATTTTAATTGTTTTTGTAAAATTGCAGTTTAGATTTAGGAGATGGATTTCTCAAACAATTTTTAGATGATACAAGATCATTATCTCCTGATCAGAGAGGAGAAGAATTGCAAAAATGTAATGCTATTATAGATACTCATTCTGAAGTAGCTAACGAAGGGCAAACAGCTGTAAGATTTTTTTTTTTTCATCATTTGTCCTATAATTTTATATCATCATATTAAAAAATGTATTTTGAAAATTTCAGCCCCCCGATAATAGGATACCTGTTTTATATCATTTTGTGGCTTTCGTTCAAAAAGAAGGAAATTTATATGAATTAGATGGGAGGAAAGCATTTCCAATAAATCTTGGCCCATCGTCACCTGATACTTTTCTCCAAGATGCTGCTTTAGCTTGTCGTAATTACATGAAACGAAATCCTGAAAATGTTAACTTTACTGTTGTCGCAGTGACTGCAGAATAATAATAAAAAAAAAATTACATCGAATTTGTTGTGATTAACATTAAATGTTTTTGAAATGGTTTTTTGTTTTAATAAAAAAAAAAAAAAAAAAAGAAAAATGAAAATTTACACATTTCTGTAAACATTATTATTAATATTAACATTACGAAAAAAGAAAAATATGTATTATGAGTAAATGACTGAATATTTAAAAAAATTGTATTTATTTATATTAAAAAAGCATTTTCTAATTATTCACACACATATTTTTTATAATTTATATAATTAAATTTATAAATATTGATTCGTCAGTAATAATTTTGCATGTGAAATTTTGTAATAAAAAAAAAAAATAAGAAAATTTTTTTAAATAAAGCTTTATTATTATTATTTTCACGATTATTTATTATTATTAATTTAAACAAAAAGTATAACCTAAAATACTCTTGAGTGAAAAAATATTTACAAAAAAAAAAGAAGAAAAAATTGAAATAATTATTAACCGCCGTTTTTTTTTTTGTAACATTATACGCGATAAGTAATTGAAAAACCGGAAATTTAACAAATACGCCAGTGAGCGACGTTTAAAACAATTTGCTTCAACTGCCAAGTGTTATCGGATTAACAACCGTAAGAAAAATAAGCATTTGTGATTTTGTTTTTTTTTGTTTTTTTTTTTGGTTTTTATACGAATAAAATATGATCATTTTTTGAAATGAAAGATGAAAATTATTCAGGAGGATCAAGACGATCAAGAAATCCTAGGGATCCAATTTGGACATGCGTCGCTGGGGATCCAAGAATCACCCAACAAAGGGAATATGTTGTGAGTTAATTTTTAAAACAAATTATTCATTCAAATCAATTATTCAAATGTTGCGATTAATTTATTAATATTTATTTGACAGATTATTATATTTCATACATGATTAAATTACACATTATTTATTTTATTATTTACAATAACTGTCACAAATTAATTAATTATCATTATTATTATTTTTTAATGGGATTTTTTTTTTTTTTAAATATGATAATTCAAAATTGCATTGACATTAACCGTTTTTTTTATGATTTAAAAACATAAAGCTAATAAAATCAATGCATAAATTTAATTTGAAAAAAAAAAACATTAATTTGACAAATGCATAAAACAATATTAATTATTTTAATTCCTTTCACTGATCCCCAGGTCAAGGTTTTATCAAATTTTTTAACAACCAAAAAAAAAAAAAAAAAATTGAATGTCAATTGTTAAAAAGATATTTGAAATGATCTAGAGAATATTTTTATTATTATTATTTTTTTTCCATTTGAAGTTTTCAATTTGATGTTTGAAATAAAAAAAAAAAACCAATTAAAAATTATGATAAAATAAAAGCATAAAATTTTTCCTTTTTTTTTTGTCGTTTTATGCAGTTTAAGATATTGTTTTTTTTTTTCTTATCAAGCTAATGTTCGTTTTTTTTTAAATGAGATGATACTTAAGAGTCGGTGAGTTCTTAACTAACAATTAAATAAAGATAAATAAATAATATTTATTTAAATTGTTTTTTTTTTTTTTCAAAGGTGAATTACATAAAATTATGAAGTATTTTTTAATATTATTATCTTGTTTTGAAAAATCATCTTGCATAATTTTTTCAAAATTTAAATTACATGAAAAGAGTATTATAAATTCTTTTTTTTTTTTTACTTTCAGGTTCCGAGTACCAGCGATTCTGAATCTGCACCCTTGGCTAGTAACCATGTTAAGGGTCTCAGTGTCACTTCGGCAGCAGTTTTTATCGCTGGCGAAATGGCTGGAAGTGGAGTTTTAGCATTACCCAGAGCTGTTGTTGATGCAGGTAACTTTTTATATTACTAAATTTCAATTCTTTTATTGAACTAATCATTTCAAATGGAAATTAATTTATATTTTTTGTATATTCTAATTTTTTTTTAGGTTGGATCGGTTTAATTGTTATGATTGTACTTTGTATAAGTGCTGGGTATGGAGGTTCTAGGTTAGGAGCATGTTGGGAAATATTGGAAGAAAGGTATTTGGATTACAGACAACCTGTACGAAATCCATATGCGACTATAGCATTTAGAGCTGTGGGACCTTGGGCAAGGTATTCTATCATATTTCTTTTAATTATAATTTTTATTAATTCTCTTAATAACTTCACAAAAAATTATTAAAATTTTTAATATTTTTATTTAGAAAATTAGTATCATTTTGTATTCAATTCACATTGTTTGGTGCTGGTACTGTTTATTTATTATTGGCAGCACAAATTGTGAAAGATTTACTCGATGATTATTTTCCAAATTTTGGTCTTTGTATTTGGTTTCTCATAATATCAATAATACTAATGCCTGCCATGTGGTTTGGATCACCAAAAGATTTTCGGTAAGAAAAATTCTTTTTTTTTAATTGTATCAATCGAAATGAAAATAATAATGATCAAAATAATCGATAGTGGAAGGTTTTTAAAAATTTTACATAAGAGAAAATAAATTAATATCATTTAATATTTCAAAATTAGTTTGAAAACTTTAAATTAAAATTTTTTTTTTTGTTTTAAGGGTCGTTGGAATTGGTGCCTTATTGACGACAGCAATAGCTTGCGTATTAATTTTTACTCAAATAGTTTTAGATGGTTTACACAATATGAAACCAGTTAAAAGAAAAGTTCATGGTTTTTATGATTTTTTTGTGTCGTTTGGAACTATATTATTTGCTTTTGGTGGAGCTTCAACTTTTCCCACCATTCAAAATGATATGATTAATAAAGAAAAATTTTCAAAAAGTGTTTTTATTGCGTTTAGTGGTAAGAAATTATTATTTCAAATTTATTTTGACTTCATTCGAAATAATTATATTTGATTGTCAAAAAGCATACATAATATGTTTTTTGTTATTTCAGTAATTTTAGGTCTTTACGTTCCCGTGACGTTTGGGGGTTATATTGTTTATGGAGAAATGGTTACTCCAAATATAATTCTGTCACTTGGTCACACATCTTTAGTCAAAATGGCTAATATACTCATGGCAATTCACTTAGTTTTGGCATTTTTAATTGTTATTAATCCAGTTTGTCAAGAGCTTGAAGAACATTTTAAAATTCCTATGGGTTCGTTTAATTTTTCAATAGTTATTTTTTTTTTTTTTTTTTGGACAATTAATATTAACAAAAAATTTTAATCCCTTGCTTTAGATTTCGGTATTAAACGATGTTTAATAAGATCTGGAATAATGCTAACAATGGTTTTTGTCGGAGAAACTATTCCAAGGTTTAGAAAAATATTAGCATTGGTTGGTGGTTCCACCATAACTCTTTTAACGTTTGTTTTTCCGGCTTTATTTTACATGTTGCTATGCAGGCAACATAAATTAGAATGGCCTGAAAGGTATAAACGTAATTTCATATTTTTCTTATTACATTAACATTTCTATTTCATTGTTATTATTATTATTATTTAATTTTTTCAGATCCATTCCTTTACATATTCGTTTGTATTTATGGGAATTGATTATCATTGGTGTGATAGGAGGTACAGCATCCAGTTATAGTGCAATATTATCAATTTTTAGTCCCGATGCATTTTCTCTCCCTTGTTATTGGATATTTTCGTGAGAAAATTTATAAAATTAAATATTTAGGCAATTTATTAAATATATATATATATATATATTTGTTATTACGTAAAAATTTTTTTTTAAAATTTTGTATTTTTGTACTTTTGTAAAATTTTTAAAATTGTTGGAATAAAAAAAAAAAAAGCCGGTTGTAAAATTGATTGTTATTGTATTAAAATTTTTATTATATTTTAATATATAATTGGATTTTTTAAATAAATATTTTTGGTTAAAAAAAATTTTTTTTTTAATAACCTTAGGGTATTAGTAATGGCGGAAATGTATTGAAAATTGGCGGGGAAATGTAAAAATTTTCTCTTTTTTAAGTAAAAGGTGGAGAGAGAAATTTGTCGCAAGTTTAATTTCAGTTGATGTTCTGTAGTGCAAAGACGAGGTTGTTGATTTATTCAATGGGTTAGGAGTGTTTAGTTAAGAATGTGATGTCTCACGTATAGTTTATTATATTTTACATTTATTTGTTTTTTTTGTCATAAGTTAAAATAAAATGTAAAAGTTTTTGTGAGTCGGGGAGTAAATTTTTTTAAGCACGTCGAGTGCTATGATTCGACAAAAAAAAAAAAAACAATTTTTTTTTGCTAATTCAATCTCATTAGATTCATCTCAAGTTGAAGAGATCATGATTTTTCAATGCTATACCTTGTAAAACATCTCACAAATGAGGTTCAACAAGCAGGAGTTGATGACATTAGCCAACCAACCCTCTCATAAATTTGATAAAGAAGGAGTTTTGTATTTGAGAGAGAGACAGGATGGATTTTTTAAAAGGAACGAACGTAAGTTTTTTTTTTTATATTAACACACAAATCATTCTCAGTGTCGCATAAGCCTCCTTAAATGAAAAAGAAAATTTTTTTTATTTGTTTTTTGAAGCAAATTATTCGCTTCACATATTTATATAAAAAGTAAAGTTTTTGCCAACTAAAATGTTTTTAACATCTGTTGGTCATTGTTTTTTAAGTAAATTTATGTCATTACTTGTTTGATAAAATGTTAGGGAATTCTTACGTCACGGTTGAAGTGTTGTCCTGCTGGTAATGGGAAATATGTGAATGTGTAAAAAATTGTAAAAAAATTAACTACTCTATTTGTGTAACAATCACAAATTAATTATTATTATTTTTTTATATATATATATTTTCTTTAAATTACTATTTTTAACAAAAAGATGGAGAAAATTTTTATATGATAAACGTTTGAAAATGCCAAAAAAAAAAAAAATATCATAACAATACTTTTTACTTGCACATAAATCGTTAAAGTATTTTTTCCCCTTTTGCGAAATTACACATTTTTTTTTTTTTCCATTTCATTTTTCAAATTCCCACTTTTTTTTTAATAATTTTACATTTTACTTTTTTTTTCTTTTTTGTGGTTGATTATTTTAGCTGGATTTAATTTCAAAATCAAATTTCAAATAATTATTTTTTATTTAATAATTCATACTTTTTTATACGTATTCGCTTATTATTATTATTTTGAAATGAAATTTTTCTTTTTGTAATTATTATTTTAAAGAGACAGTCATTTATATTTACAGAGTAGTGAGACATTGAAATTATAATATGAAAAGATAACATTTTTTTTTTTTTTTTTGGTTTTTATCACATAATTAGGAAATGAAGAAATTTATTTATTTAATTTTTTTTTTTTTTTTTTTAATGATACATTCATATCGAGTTGAATTAATCATAAAAAAAATAATCAAATTTTTTTTTATTTAAAAGATCATTTAAACATTATTTTTTTATTATTTAAACTTTTTTTTTTTTTGCAACTCATTTTTAAATGAAATAATTTTTAAAAAAAGAATCGACTAATATGAAAAAATTAATACTTTCATTATAAAAAAAAAAAAAATTTATTTTTTTAATTACAGTCTCCCACTTGATTAATTTTAATTTAAATTACAATTAATAATTTTGTCATTAATTAAATAATTAATGACAAAAGTTAATTTATTAAAATATTTTATAATCATCATAAACTTTTTATTTAAAAAAAAAAAAAAAAAATTAATTCAAAAAATTCTCTTTTTGATTATTCGCAAAAAAAAATTCTTTAAAAAATTGAAAGCGATTATTTATTAAAAATGATTTATTAATATATCATTATTATCATCATCATCATTATTTATTTTCAAATATGATTTTAGGTCTCTTTTAGGTCAAATTTTTTTTTTTTTTTTGTAGCCTAAACAAATAATTTAAGTTAGTCTACAAATGTTAGTTAGTACAATTTGTTTTATTAGCAAAATTAAAGATTTAAATTTTTTTTTTTTTTTTAACAAAAACATAAAATTAAACATTCCAAAGTTCAAAATTTTTTTTATTTTTTTTTTTTTCCAATAGATATGTAAAATTGTTGAGGTTTATCTTTTTTTTTTTTTTTTTTTTTTTAAAATAATTTATTTTTTTTCATCAAATTAAAATTAGTTGGAATGTTTTCATGTGTGAGAGGGGAAAAGGTTTTTGGTTGGAAGGGAAAGGTTTCTAACTGGAAAAGTTTAATTTTCCCAAAAAAAAAAAAAAAAAAAAAAAGAAAAACTTTAAATTATTATTTGGGGTTTGAAAAAAAAAAAAAAAAATTTTTTTTAATATGAAAAAGTTTAATTGTTAAAAATAATAATAATAATAATAATAATAATAATAAGTGATTTAATTTTCATACGAGATGAATAAATTTAATAATTTTCTTTTTTTTTTTTTAAAGTTTCTACTTAATTTCTCTCTCTCTCTCTCTTTCTTTCTTTCTCTCTTTCTCTCTCTCTCTCTCTCTCTTTCTTTCTTTCTCTCTTTCTCTCTCTCTCTCTCTCTCTCTCTCTCTCTTTCTTTCTTTCTCTCTTTCTCTCTCTCTCTCTCTCTCTTTCACTTTGTAATGTTTAACGTGTGTAAGTTTTTTAATTAAATTTTTTTTTTTTTTTGTTAGAAATTTGAATAACTAATTTTCTCTTTTTTTTTTTGTTATAAATATGAGTAAATCAAAAACGTCAACGAAAAAAATTTTTTTTTTTTTTTTTTTTTACCGCAATTATTATTATTAAATTCTTTAAATTGATTCATTATTGTTATTATTATTATTATCATTAGTTTTTTCCCCATTATGATTAAATTAAAAAAAACAAAAGTTTTCCCCCCATTTTTTTTTTTTTACATTAATTCAATCCCATAGTTTGGAACAATATATCGATACATATTAATATAAAAAAAAAATTTCTGATCATTTATGTCGAAAAATCCCTTTCCCCCCCCCCCCCCCCCTTTTTCCCATTTTTCAATTCATTGTTTCCATCAATATCATCATTATCATTATTTTGCATATCAATGATGAAAACTGATGGAAAATATTAATAAAAATAATAAAAAAGGAAGGGTGAATGGGGGCTAGTACCCCCTGAATATGATATGAAAAAACGTCCTTAATGTTATACAAAAAAAATTTATATTGAAATAAAAAGAGAGAGAGAGGGGGGGGGATGGGGGG